CTTGTCACCTATACTTTGTACATCACTTGCTTGATAACGGTGTGAAAACCTACACCGAAACGTCGCTCCTAATTATCCCCCGCCCCAACGAAGTTGGCGGGGGATTGAAAATGGGTTCCGTCCGTGTGTGTGTGTGTGTGTGTGCGTCCCGAAATCGTTTCCGGAGCATAACTCAGAAACCGTTAAATATTTCTCTACGAAACTTTGCATGTCTATCAGACTCATGCTGAACTGCTGCCTTTTGCTATTTAGGAATTTTATAAATTTTTATTTTTTACGTTTCCATTGCAACAAGTTGGACTTAGGTTCTATAAGGGTGGTGTTCGTTTCCGGAGCATAACTCAAAAACCGTTAAATAATTTCTTACAAAACTTTGCATGTTTCCGAGACACATACTGAACTGGTGCCTTTTGCTATTTAGGAATTTTATAAATTTTTATTTTTTACGTTTCCATGGCAACAAATTGGACTTAGGTTCTATAAGGGTGCTGTTCGTTTCCGGAGCATAACTCAAATACTGTTAAATATTTTCTTACAAAACTTTGCATGTCTAGTAGACACATACTGAACTGGTGCCTTTTGCTATTTAGGAATTTTACAAATTTTTATTTTTTACGTTTCCATTGCAACAAGTTGGACTTAGGTTCTATAGGGTAGAGTTTGTTTCCGGAGCACAACTCAAAACCCATTCAATACTTTCCAACAAAAACTTTGCATGTTTACCAGACACATACTGGACTGGTGCCTCTTGCTATTTAGGAATTTTAGACATTTTTATTTTTCACGTTTCCATGGCAATAAGTTGGACTGAGGTCCTACAGGGGTGGTGTTCGTTTCCAGAGCGTAACTAAAAAACCGTTAAATACTTTCTTACTAAACTTTGCATGTCTACCAGGCACATACTGTACTGGTGCCTTTTGATATATAGCACTTTTAGAAATTTTTATTGTTTATGTTTCCATGACAACAAGTTGGATTTAAGTTTTAATATAGGATTGGTTTACTTAAGGAGTATAACAAATATACTGTAAAATATTTCCTTGCCAAACATTGCATGTCTATATAATAAGCGCATACTGAACTAGTGCCATTTGATATTAAGGAGTTTTGGAAATGTTTGTTTAGAATTTCCATTGCAGCTATTTTGACATGGCCTAAGAGAAATGTTGGGTCAGTTACCTGGTTTGGGACCATAACGTGTTAAAATGGGCGGGGGATATAGATGACTTTGTCAACTATACGCTTGTTGTAATATAAAAGTTGTTCATCCATATTTCTTATCCTTACTAAGTTCTGACGTAGAAACTAAAGGGGGACAACTCTCGCGATCCTGATTTTTTTCAGGAGGTTTTTATGTGAGCCAGATTTCAGGAAAGGCAATTTTTCTCCGACTACTGTGAGAATATAAACAACTAGTTCAATGTTCTATAGAAGGTTCCAGACCCTTAATTCTCCTTTGAAGATAATACAAAAAGCAATGAATCTTTTTACCAACAGTTATATTTATGGAATAAATAGAAATAATAACATTCTGTTGAATATTTCAATGTTTTCTTGCAGCCCGACAGCTTTTTCAAAGACTCGTTGAAACACGTGACCAGCACGTGGTGACAGCCAAACTGAACTGTGGGTCGTCATGGAGTTTGTTCTGAAACAAAGGAAAGGGAAGATTAAGGCAAACCAGTGATTGATAGTACGAGCATCGTCGGGGTACGTTGACACCAATCATCCTATTCATCGAGGCAGATCACTAGATCCCAAACAGTTTCCTCTTACGATTAGTGGGCGGTCGGGTAGCCTAGTGGTTAAAGCATTCGCTCGTCACACAGACGACCCGGGTTCGAATCCCGACATTGGTACAATGTGTGAAGCCCATTTCTGGTGTCCCCCGCCGTGTTATTTCTGGAACCATACTCGCTCGCTCACACACACTCACTCACTCACTCACTCACTCACTCACTCACTCACTCACTCACTCACTCACTCACTCACTCACTCACTCACTCACTCTTACGATTAGTATGGACGACTGGGACCTACACTAACAACTTTGTGGACTCGAACCAGGCCCTTCGGCGCGGAGAGTAAAACCCTTAACCACCAGGCTACCAGACGACCCCTAAAATACTGTTGACTGGCAACATTGTGGTTGGGTGCGTGCTCTGGTTGACGGGCGTACCTACCACGGTGGATTTAACCAGTCGTTGTGAGGATGATGGGGAGGTAGTTGGAGTGGCTGTGACCGCCGCCGCCGCCGTGCATCATGTACGGGATGGGCACCATGATGCCGTGAGAGTGATGGTGACTGCTGTGGCTACTACTGCTGCAACCACACGCCGTCGTCGACGTCACCAAGCACACTGGAAAACGAAGAACATGGGAGTGTTAGTTAAGCACGGTCATCTGTGAAAACAGATAGGGCCTTAAGATCATTTAGGCTGACAATATTACTTGAAATTAGTGAGTAGAGCTCTTCGCCGATATTCTAATCCAGCAATACCAAGGCGAGTGGACACATTGAGGTCCTGTCAGAAATCGAATCCGGGTTTGTGGAGACTAGCCAACGCTTTAAACGTTAGGCAGCCCCACCGCCAAGATTAAGGAGCAAGTTAGGGTTAATAAATAATAAAATAAATAATAATTTTCCGATATGCACAATTGAGGGGTGTGCAATATTACTGGTAAACAAATATATTGCAACACGTCCCTCAGCAATACACGTATCGCAATACAACCTAAATACGTATTGGTATTTTCCAATGCAGACACCAAGGAATTAATATATAATTATATGAATTATATCTACTATCGTAGGGCATTTGGATGGACGGGTTGCTGTTCACATTAACATTCCATATTGATGACGTCAAGGTAGTCTCGTTTATCCATACTACCCATCTCGTAATCAGAAGTCTGGGTTATTAAATGAAGAAGTACCGTTTTAACAATACAAAATAATATATATTCTGCGATATATTGCAATATGTGCCAATAGCCCAACTCTAACAATTAACCATGTCTCTTTTGCAATTAAGTACTCAAGAAACAAGTACATATTTAATTATTTTATATTTATATTCATTTAATTTGTATTCGCTTTGTTTGTCAAATAAAAAAGTGAAAAATACTAACCCAACATGACCGCGGCAAAAATGAAAGCAAGGCACTTCATGTTTAGATGACAACAGAATACTGAATGATAAACCAACCGCAACATCCTACTTTTTTATACTACTTCGTTAAATTCCGGGCCTCACTGGGTAAGCCGAACTTGATACGGATTAAGCCGAGGGAGGTCTCATTGCGTTAATTCACAGCAGTGGCTCAAGTGGCGTTATCCTGCGATTACAATGTCAGAAAGGCGATCACACACCCTGAAACCATGATGCTGTGTACCTAATTATCACTGCTACGTTACAATTTGAAAAATCTAATAAAATTAATGTCGCCGCAATCAAAATAAATAAAACAAAACAATAATAGCTCTTTATAAATATCTTCATTTTTTTATATATGACTATTACTACCAATCAGAAAGACCTTTTCATCTTGTAACCAAACAATACTAATAATAACCGCGAAATCAACAACAACAACAACAAAAATAATAATAATAGCAAATACAAACAGACGGGCAACAGGAAAGTATCTATTTGAAAACTGGATTTGACCAAAACATTACAAACATTATCAAAACGTTACCAGATTAAAAACAGTTGCCGAAACACTGCAAACTAAGGTCCAAAACGCAAGCATGATATCCGTATTCAATATATAACCATCAAAAAACTATTTCTTATTTTTTTGGGCCTCTATCAACATGGGTGTATGCTTTCTTTGGCCCGACAGTAAAGCTAAGGGTATCAATTATTTGTATATCACAGTACGTAACAGTATAGCCCAGTCTTCAACAACTATTAGGGACGGTCGGGTAGATTAGTGGTTAAAGCGTTCGCTCGTCACGCCGAAGACCGACATGGGTACAATGTGTGAAGCCCATTTCTGGTGTCCCCCGTCGGAGACCGCCTCCGTGGTCTAGTGGTAGAGCGTCCGCCCGGAGAGCGGAAGGTCCGGGGTTCGATCCCCGGCCGAGTCATACCAAAATACGTTAAAAGATGGTACTTGTTGTTACCCTGTCTGGCGCTCGGCATTAAGGGGATAAAACAAGGACTGGTCGGCTCGGAGTCAGTATACTGTGTCTGAGTGGGGTATTCATGTTAAACTGCGGCATGGTAACTCAGTGAGCTAGCACTATAAATCGGCATCAGTCCGGACTAGTACAAGCAGCCACACAAACACACACACGTACATGCACGTCGCTATATAAGTGCAATAATCTTGGACGCGACGTTAAACCCCATTTCACCTCACCTGTCCCCCGTCGGAATATTGCTAGAAGCGGCGTAAAACCATACTCACTCACTCAACAACTATTAGTGGGTCACCCATTATAAATGTGAATAATTGTTGAATGCCCTGAAACGAAATGAGTGGTGAAAGAGAAAAGAAATGCCCGTTTGAGAGAAACAATGTACACTTTGAAGCAGTGACTGTAAACTATCCTGTCTCTAACAACAACAACAACAACAACAACAACAACAACAACAACAACAACAACAACACCCCTCTTCCCACTCTGCGATAATAAATAGCAGGTCCCCAAGAACAAAAAAATACATGTAAAACATGTCTTTTTTAAAATGCATCTTCTTGTGTTTAGGACAATTAACTGTTATATTTTATTTTATCTGCATAATTATTTTAACGGAGAAAAATAAAATGAACACATTTATGAGATCGAGTTTTAGCCAAATTTGACTTCAATTTCTCATGAAATATAAACATTTTGTTCATTCTAATGATTAACTGTCTTCATTGACCTTCAAGTGACCTTCAAGAGACCAGGCAACCCAAACCACATGTACTGTTTACAGACCACCTGTATTGTTGACAGACCACCCCATGTTGTTTACAGACCACCCCATGTTGTTGAGTTACAGGTAGCTGGGCGTCGTTTTTGGAGGTCCAGCTATATAAACCCAAGTGACCATTGAGGTCAACAAACAATTTTTTCTTCTGAAAAGAAACAACACACACAACAACTTTGAAATGAAGGTGTTCGCTGGTTTGGTCGCCATTGTTCTCGGTAGGTAACCAGTAGCACGTGTTTTGTCTTCAGTTTGTCTGAGGGAGACTTTGTTTGTTTGTTTGTTTGTTGTTTAACGCCGCGCTCAGCAGTATTCCAGCTATATGACGGCGGTCTGTAAATAATCGAGTCTGGACCAGGCGGTCTACTGATTGACATCATGAGCATCGCTCTACGCAACTGGTATACGATGACATGCATCAACCAAGTCAGAGAGCCTGATCACCCGATCATCTTAGTCTTATCCGGGGCGGTCGGGTAGCCTTGTGGTTAAGGCGTTCGCTCGTTACGCCGAAGACCCGGGTTCGATTCCCGACATGGGTACAATGTGTGAAACCCATTTCTGGTGTCCCCCGCCGTGATATTGCTGGAATATTGCTAAAAGCGGCGTAAAACCACACTCACTCACTCACTCACTCAGTCTTATCTAACGACAAGCATAGTCGCCTTTTACGGCAAGCATGGTTTACAGAGGGAGACTGGTCTAATTGACCTCTAAGCATGCTGTTTTCACCTGATCAGAAATCTTGCATTAATGCTACTCGCGTAATTCGAGATTTTGCCAGTCACCTGAGTAGTAAATTCTAAGCTTTGCAGATGATTTTGTGATAGGTTTTATATGGCAACCCCAACCAAATGAATTTTAGAATCATCATAAAAATACCAAAGTCATAGTTCGGACGAACAAATAATAGGGTTATGGGTAATTGTTATCGTGCGAATAAGCCAATGAGTCATACATGTAGGTTAACGTTAAAATGTCATTTACCTATTTCCTTTCTTAACTTTATTTCATCTAGGTATGCTGGTGTCGTACTCCGACGCCTGTTGTTGTCATCACGGCAGCCACAGCAGCCACCACAGCAGGCACGGCATCCCAATCCCCATCCCCTACCCAATGGGCGGCAGCAGCGGCGGCAGCCACTCCGCCAACATCCCCCTCATCATCACAACAACAGGAAAATAAACACGGGTAAGTATATAACCCTATACATAAGTCAATTATGCCAAATAAGTGTTGTGTTTCTCTCGAGCCAAACCCGAAGTAAGTACAAGAAAAGGGGTGATAACTCTTAACTGACTGATAACAGAAAATTGCAAAACCTGAACTCACAAACGGAATGAAAGAACAGGTGTCATATCAGTATTTTTGTCACTGTAAAGGTGACGGCAAATGAGATGTACGTTGTAAAAACGCGGTCGGGCGATGTTCACACTGTCGACCACTAGTTCGCATGTTTTAGAACGAACCAGTTTATCGCTGGAATAGTGCAAGAGGGTTGCGACGTGAAGCTGTCCTTGAGGCCCACGTGCGTATTCACGCGTAGTTTGTGTTAATCCGAATGCACTGCAAGGTACACATGGCATAGTGGTGTCGTTATTCCCGTGTTTAAAATCACGTTTTATCCAGGGTTTGAATCCCAAAAGCGCCCTCATGTTTCTAGGTTTGTCGGCACCATACCCGTGCTCGTGGGTTTTTCACCAAAATGGTAAACGTCTGAGACCTGCGTCCCTTGTTCTTGCGGCTTTTCTCACACATTAAGCTAACACGCCGTTATATTACTGAAATACGGAGCAAAGCGGCGTTTTATCAGCTCTCTCTCTCTCTCTCTCTCTCTCTCTCTCTCTCTCTCTCTCTCTTCAGCGGTGTCGGGGGCGACGGAGTAGCCGAGTAGTTAAATCGTTCGCTCGTCACCTATGTTTGATTCCCCATATGGGTACAATGTGTGAAGCCCTTTTCTGGTATCCCCCGCCGTTATATTGCTGGAATATTGCTAAAAGCGGCGTACAATCATACTCAATCATTGAGAAGTGTCGAAAGCGATTCTCAGCATGGAATTAAGTAGTGTCTTTGTTTCAGGTGATTGTTAGTTAAACTGATAAAAGTTGTCTAAATGCGTCTGTTTCCAACACATTCCACAAACACATAATCCTGAAATAACGTTATGTATAAATTTAAAAATAAATGGAACCTCCGAATATTAAGGAACCCTCAAGTTTATTTATTTATCAAGAGTTGAAAAAGGGATGGGTATAGGCTGGTAGAACTCGGAAGGGGTGAAAGTGGAATTGGGTGAATATTTTAAGAAACTTTTGACAAACTTGTAAGAATCGGTTACACTTTACAATGTTCATTTTATGTAAAATTGATGATTTGGTTCTTTCTGTTTCAGGTATTCCTGTTACCATGGTTACTGCATGTACCGAAGTTCTCAGGTCCATACATACAGACCCGGGTATTTCCATCTAGAGCTATGCCGTTTATTTTATGTTGTTTGTTATGATCTCGTGAATAAACTACTTAAAAGTCACCACAAGACGAATGTTATATCCCAGTCACAAATATTATCCTGCCATGTGCACCATGAAACCCCTGTAATCCGGACTGTACTTTTCTCTGTGAAATCATTCTGATTACAGATGTCTGAATAAACGAGTCATGGGTTCTGAGTGACGGCATTGATACCTTGCATTTAGGTACTCGTTTTGGATCGGTTACTGAATGGCCATTTTTAGAGATGCCGAACCTTTTATCAATGCATTTGCAATAAATTATGATTTTTATCTCGAAACAGAACATCTATCAAATGCACTTGTGCGAACATGACCGAGCATATCCCGATTGTAATGCAAGGACGATAACTCTCGATATGTTTATCGTCTGCTTGCTGTCAAGATGTCGGTGACATGGTTCGCAAGCGGTAAAGTGATAAAGATATTGTAGATAAACAGACTAACATTATGCTGGTAAGGTAAATTCGTTGTCAACCGTTCCCTCGTGGTATATGAAATGTTATCATACCTCCGTGTCAGAATGATTAGATCTGACTGGTTCACGTAATCTTGACAAAGTACCATGTACACAGTGTGCACTCCTATGTACCCCATCGACTTTGGACAGAATTTCTCGCTTTTCTGAGTCATCGTTCACTCGTTAGTTCATGAATTGGGTTTAAAACCGCTTTGAACAGTATTCCAGTTATATCAAGGAGTATCAGCTTGCTGTGGGAGGAGAACCCGAAATGATGCAGGTATGGTGCTGACAAACCAAGAAACCAAGAAGGGATATAAAGAATACTTTCTTTGCATTTTTTGAAAACGAGAAAAACAAACCTTAGTTCTTCGAGTGCAAAATTGTAACACATATCTGGAACAACCTTACAAAATGGATCAAAGACAAAACTGGAATAGAACTAGAATTTTCAAAATTGACAAATTTATTAGGTGACAACAAAAACGAAATGATGGATTAAATCATATTCTAACTGCAACAAAGCAAAACATATTCAAATCAAACTTTTCCGACTCAATACCAAATTTCCCACACATCAAAAAAGAAATAACCTATTCATATTACATCGACAGAAATATATCATATTCACAATGTAAATACACACAGTTCATGACATTTTGGTCTCTCTGTCACCACCTGTTCGTTTAAAACCACGAACTTGCACAATCCAACAATATGACACTGGAATAGTTTTGTTTGTTATCATCTATAGGTATACTTTGTAACATGTATGTATTTAAGTTTGCATGTGAACTATAGTCTGTAAACATATTGTTTGTGTACTCAAAAAAGAAAAAAAAAGAAACCAAGAAGCTTCTTGGATTCAAACCCTGGATAAAACGTAAATTTAAACAACATTATCAATGCTCCTCGGCGCTTAGGATGAACATGCAAATAACATATTTTTTTGCGCCAGTGAGCTTTAACGAAGGGATGACATAGATTCTATCAAAAGTTTCGAACAAATATTATCACACACAGACATAAACATAGCGTGACCATTTTCCATGATTATGTATATGACAGTTTTATCCAACTTTCACTATATCTGCGTGCAAACCTATGTAAAATAAATGAAACAAAGACGACATGGCTATAACGATGTGATGTAGTGCTGTATTTTGGGCCATAGATTATCAATGTTTCGGTGACTGTTTTCAGCCTATTAACGTTTGTAATGTGTTGGTCAAATCCAATTTTCAAATATATACATTCTATTCCGACATTTAGTTTGTTTGTTTGTTGTTTATAGCCACATTCAGCAATAATTCAGCGATATGACGGCGGTCTGTAAATATATCGAGTCTGGGCCAGACAATCCAGTTATTGATAACATGAGCATCGATCTGCGCAATTGGTATACGATGACATGCATCAACCAAGTCAGTGAGCTAAAACACCCGATCCCGTTTGTCGCCCCTTGCGACAAACTTTGTCGCCTTTTACGGTAAGCATGGGTTGCTGAAGACCTATGCTAACGGGTGTCGACATTCAGTAGACTGCTTGAAAAGCTAGGATCTTCAGGGGAGTAGTTATGATAATAAGCTGACACAAGTTCATGAACGTGCCTCTACAAGTAGGTGTATTTGGAGAAACTGATATGTTAAATACAAACATACAGTATACACAGTGGGTTAATATGAGTTGTCTTAGCAATATTCCACCCATATGTCTGGGGACACTACAAATGGACTTCACGCATTGTGCCATTGGCGGAATCGATCCCGGGTCTTCGGAGTGACCGTCTCGGGTTAAATATGAGAAAAATAAACGACGAGGTATTGAGTTCACAGATCCATTTTCTTGGCTAATAGTTTTATACAAGTGTGTATGGCCTGATAAAGCTCGTAAATGAGCTGAAGGTAATAGCCGAGTAAATTGATTTTCACTTTATTAAATCAATCAACCAATCAATCAAAATATCGAAAGTTGCGATACTAGCTTCGTCCAAAATTGGCTTCGACAGAAGATATCGCTTGGGTGAGATCAATCGATATCTCCTTGGAGATTTTGAATTAATTCAACTGATCCGCAAATAGGTGACATTATTAATTATATATGAATTATTTCCCATAAGTACCGTCCGTTCAAAGAGTTGTACAGAGATGAGTAACATGGGAATAAGATAATTTCACGCTCGTGGCCTCCGAGATCAAATATATCAAGACAAGTTACAGTCAAACATTGTTCTGTTGAAGTTGAAGGGACCCACATTAATACTTCGAGTTATCCGAGGTTCGACACGACCGATCTACCGATTCGCGTGAATGAATAACACGAACCATCTGCGACAAACAAAGAACCAGAAAATGAAATTATTATTTTATCAACCAGTGTTCAAACATTTTGATCTTGGAAGACGTGAAGGGTGAAATTCTATTTACCACCCAAAGTCCTTCCAATATTGTCAGTTTGTAAACAGTAACGTGCAGTGTCTTTAGCGTAAATAGTACGTACAGCTACAGCTTCAGAGGCTGAGAGATTATTGATGTTTGATTGTGACGTTTTGGTAACAGATGATGTCACAATGATCTGCAAAGTATTGTGGTGCAATTTCATTGCAGCGATTATATACTAGGAGACATGGCTTGTTCTCGCCCAAGCGATATCTCTGGTAGAGGCCAGTTTTGGGTGATTAATAGAGGTTATCACGCGAGTGTGTTTGGGGATATCCTGTATGAGACTTTAATACATTATCTGTCTGTCTGCCTGTATTAGGAATAAACATTGTATTTAGCGAGTCTTGACGATAATAGTGTTTATTCCTTTTGAGCTGCCCTTGAGAAAAATGCACTGATCACGACCGCCGTCTTTCAAAACCACATTTGTCGAATCTTCATCAATGACGTCGTTTCTAGTGTGACGTCATTCCGACCTTACGTCACAATACGATTCGAACGACGTCAACAATGCCTCCTAGATCATGTAAACAATGCACTGGTGCGCTTGAAGTGATATTTGTACCATGGATGCACAATTTGCTCTTCAGAATCATCTGAAGCAACACATGTATTCAAATGACGAGAAAGGTCTGTTAAGAACTACCCCAGTTAGTCACACAATGACAGTGCGTCGTAATACATTTACATCAAGTACCCGTGAAGATCCGGGGTTGAATAGGTCTTCAGCAACCCATGCTTGACATAAAAGGCGACTATGCTTGTCGTAAGAGGCGACTAACGGGATCGGATGGTCAGGCTCGCTGACTTGGTTGATGCATGTCATCGTATCCCAATTGCGTGGATCGATGCTCATGATGTCAATCACTGGATTGTCTGGTCCAGACTCGATTATTTACAGACCGCCGTTATATAGCTGGAATATTGCTGAGTGCGGCGTTAAACAACAAACCAACCAACCAACCAACCAACCAACATCAAGTACACAAACTCTGACGTTTCTCAATATATACTGCAACGCTGAGTTTAAGATTAAAGGATCTAAATGATCAGAAAGAAAGCTTCTGTACGTATTCATGCTTGGGAATTCCCAGTGTTTTTTCCCAGAAATGTGGAAGTAGTCCGTCAGTGTTTACGTCATTTCAAGAACACGGTCTCGCGAAAAACGTATGAACGTCAAATGGAGTTCAATTTCGCGGTAACAGGTGACCAAACTCTCGTCCAATTAAAAAGCCGAATATCGTGTAAACTTCAAACTAAAATTAAAATCATACGGTTAGACGATTAAGCTGGCATGTGCGGGTGTAATGACGTCATAATAGGTGATGTCAATTGGTCGGTACGTCATAAGTCATCGTGCACGCGCTGAAAATCGCATGGCGAAGTTTCTAACAACCCAATGGTAGCTGGAACAAGCATGCCATTATTTGTGACCCGTAACTCACATTATCATGAGGCGTTTACAAATCGAGCTACCTGACTGACCACTCGCCTTCTTCACCACTCGTCGTCAGGGAAACAAAATGTTCAAGGTCGTGAAAAATACTTCGTCGATGAACGTTTTATCTAATGCTTCTACATGATGTTTTATTTCAATATTGGTGCTCTGAACTTTTAAAGTGCGAAGACACTTGCATTTCTACAATACAAAACTGAGTCCGTGCACACCCACTCTCAAACACTACTGTGTATACTATCATTTTGCTGCTTTAAAAAATCAAATCGATGTTTGAATAGCTTCGTTTGGGTGCTCAACAACTGGTAGTCACGTCGTATTAGGACCCGTATCCGAAATAAAATACAAATTAAAGATTTGACTCGGCTTTTGTGTGTATGAACGGTTTTGCTCTCAATGAGGTATCATTATTTTTCTTGGGCCTTCTGTTCATTTTGTACGTTTGCAAATACCACAAACATCTCAGGAATCAACGCGATCTGTTCAGGTCACATTGCTCAGAAATTTGATTTTTTTTTAAAAAAAGGACACTGATTGGGTTTCCATTGAAACTTGACGATTAAGAAAAATGCGGCCAATCTTTAACTTTCTAAACATCCAACATCCATAGTTTTGGTCACCAGATGGTCTGTGTGATGACCGCATGTCACACAGATGCAGGAAATAGGGGTGTTTTAATTAATCGTTTTAAAAGCCAAAATCACTTAAGCTTAGGAAACAATGCAGCAAAACAAGGACTTCACTAACCAGACCGATTGGTAATCGGCTTAGACTGATTAAAGGCGGAGGTAGATAGGTATATAAACCAGGTGCAGTTGCCCGACCATCATAACAAGCATCTTAGTCTTTGTTGTCTCACCAGCGATCAACACCCCAACATGAACATCAGCTTCAGCATAGTCATCGCCTTCTTGGGTAAGTCAACTGAATATTTATAATTCTTTATTTTAATTTGTTTCGTCCAATACTCACATTGAGAAATGCCTTATGCTGAAGTATATAATTTCGTTAATTCTTGCTGACTTTTATACTCTGACTTCAGTAAAATCTTTAAAAATGCGGATTTTGTTTAATTTACGAATACAGCATGGTTCGTTGTTTGAGGGCGCTTCTGATCCGCAGTTAACGTGTTTTCCTATGTTCGTAGTAAATAGGTACATAAATTACGATCGGATGGACAAAAAATCTTTGCCAACCATCCATGGTACACGATCAACATTGAGATTAAGTAATATCACTATGTAATAGAACACGATATGGTCTTTATTTTAAAACAGATTCAATAAGGTTGTACCTTGACACGCATAGAATATCTTATCTGCTCTAATTTATTCAATGGGTGAATTGAGCGCATTCCCCTGATTCATCTGCAACAGCACTGACATCGTACACGGCGACAACACATGACTTCATACACGACTACATGTACATTACTGTTTGTGTTCCAGCCATGTTCGTGACCTACTCCAACGCGTGCTGCTGTCACAAGGGCAGTCACAAGAGCCACCACAGCAGGCACGGCATCCCCGTCCCCATCCCTTACCCCATGGGCGGCAGCAGCGGCGGCAGCCACTCCTCCAACATCCCTCTCGTCATCACAACGGCTGGAAAATAGACACGCGGAAGTGAGTGACCCAAAACATAATGATACGTTGTGTAGAGTTGCGTCCCTTCGGCACGCAAGAAACCTATGATTGTAGGTTCGAATCCCGGTTCGCCACGATTACGTTTCTAGGTTTGTCAGCACCATATCCGTGCTCGTGGGTTTCACTTAAAAATGGACTTAAAAACAACAAGATTAAAAAAAACCTTTTATCTGTAAGGTTGCGACAAATGTGAGTTGGAGCCAAAGTTACAATTATTGTAGTTGTGTCCAAATCCACCACCACAGTGTCTAGAAAACATTGTTTTATCAAGTGTTACAATATATATCCACATATACATTAGGGCGGTAGGGTAGCCTGGTTGTTAAAACGTTCGCCCGTCACGCCGAAGGCCAGGTTCGATTTTCCAAATAGGTACAATGCGTGAAGCCCATTTCTGATGTCCCCCGCCGTGATATTGCTGGAAAATGGCTAAAAGCGGCGTAAAACAGAAGCGATTTTGAAATACAGGTATTAATAATTAAGTTACTAATTATTCCGTTAAGCCAGGGTACGATGTCACATTATAGAGCGGACTGGGGACATGAGGGTGTATGGTATTAATAAATATACATGCATGTATTGAGACAACGAGTTTTCCCTGACGTCATCATTGGCTGTCTTTTCAGACTATGCTGCTGTCACGTGATGTCCTGGTCAGTCATTGTAACGAACAAAACTTGTCACGCAACGCGGAATGTTCTTACAAACACATACCTCCACTTTCTATTGCTTATGTCATTAAATCTTCCTGAAAATAAATACATTCGAGGATTTTGTCAAATGTGGTGTGTCTTTTTATCAATTATGCCTTTCATTTAATATATTATTTCATATTGTCGGCATTTCGTAGCAAGCAAACAGTCCCAATGTATGCCACTAAAAAGAAGTTACAGCAATTTACAGAGCAATTAGGGAGCACGGGTGGCCCAGGCGTCTAAGGCGCCGCGATTCGCTGTGCAAAGTTGCGTCCCTTGGGCACGCCAGAAACCTTTGATTGTGGGTTCGAATCCCGGTTCGCCCTAATTATGTTTCTAGGTTTGTCAGCACCATACCCGTGCTCGTGGGTTTCACCGAAGTGGTAAACGTCTGAGACCTGCATCACTTCGGGCTTTCCTCCCACATTAAGCTGACATGCCGCGATATAACTGGAATACTGTTAAAAGCGGCGTTAAACCCAACTCACTCACTCACTCACTACAGAGTAATTGGAGTCATATTATAAAGTCGAGTGTTGACTTCTTTTGAGTAGTGTAGAATGTCATTGTGAGATATAGCTGAGCTACATGTATAGCAGGACCAGATCCCCGACCTCAGATTAGATTGATCAATATACCAACTGTTCTATAGCTAATGGGGGCAGTCGGCTAGCCTAGTGATTAAAGCGTTAGCTCGTCACGCCGAAGACCCGGGTTCGATTCCCGACATGGGTACAATGTGTGAAGCCCATTTCGTGTGTCCCCCGCCGTTATATTGCTGGAATATTGCTAAAAGCGGCGTAAAACCATACTCACTCACTCACTCACTCACTCACTAGAGGTAATGTTGCCTCTTCCAATGTGATCGACCCGTGAAGATCCGGGTAGAATAGGTCTTCAGCAACCATTGCATATGCTTGCCGTAAAAGGCGACTATGCATGTCGTAAGAGGCGACTAACGGGATCGGGTGGTCAGGCTCGCTGTCTTGGTTGATGCATGCCATCGATCCCAAATGCGTGGATCGATGCTCATGATATCAATCACTGGATTATCTGGTCCAGACTCTTTTATTTACAGCCGCCATCATAGAGTTGGAATTTGCTGAGTGCGGCGTTAAACAATAATAATAATAATTTAAGCATTTGTATAGCGCAGCATTCACTGTGCATAAGTGCTCAGTGCGCACAAACCAACCAACCAACCAAATCCCATGTGATCCCCACTATTGTGACGCCTGGAGCGCCTGAATTCGATGTGCCGAGTTAAGACCATCAATCGTGCCAGAATCCGATGATCGTGGGCTACATCCCAGATTAGGCCTGATTATTAATTTTGTGTTTACCAAAATGGTAAACGTCTCACGCATTGATATAATGGACGTACTGTTCACAGCAGTACCAACTCACTCACTGCCAGTCACATGAATGACATGAACGAGTCAACGTCGTCGGGGTCGACGAAACGCTAAGCCAGCCAGCCGAGACAATGTCGTCAGATGACGCTAACAGTCGTGTGTTCACACGGGTTAATCCGTTGTCCGTCATGCGTTTACGCACTCAGGTGGTCCTGTTCTGTATGGCGGCATGATTTGATGTGCAGAGTTACGTCCCTTTGAGTCTGAATCTCAGATGTACCCAGACTCGATTATTTACAGGACCGCCGTCATAGAGCTGGAATATTGCTGAGTGTGGCGTTAAACAACAAACAAACAAATCATATGGAAATCGATAAATACTTGGACCAAGTCTATTTCGTAACGACCAATACATTTCTGCCCCAAGCGTACACACGGTAACGTACACTGATGACTGGTGTTGTCATGACAACAGTCCCCCCTTTTACGTCCTCCTGCCCTCATCCTAATGTGACACACTAACTCATAATACTCATCGATAGTTGCGGAGTTACGACAATTAATTCAATTTTCTGTGCATCCGATGATCTACAAATTTGTATTTTTTACTCTTGATGATCGAGTTGGTCTTCTTTCACATGAAATTCTGTTCTGTGTGACATTTGTATCTACCATTAATGTGGCCACTTGGTTGTATTGGTGTTCTTTTTAAATTATAATATAACATGCATATGAAAAAGTAATCATACACGTATTTTTATTCCCTGTTATTTTACCATGAACAATGTATTGCGATATATCGTATCGTGATTTCGTTGTAAATTTAAGCTATACTCGCGAGATCATTATAACAATATGATGCCGTATCATTTACATACAACAATGCGTTGTTGTTTTCACACTCTTATCATATGAGCAACGGAAATATGACCAAGCATATTTCTCTGAACTATAAGGCTTATAGTATATTACAAAACGGGTCGTCCTGGAGAAATTAAAACATCACAAACCATTGTATACGGCAAGCGTGAAGGATTTTTGTGTTTCATCTTATACATTTTACGATGTGCTTATGAATTTTTATCCCTTTTTTAGGTAAATGAGGAATGGTTTTATATACACACCAAGATACAAACTATGGAACTCAAACGATTTGCATTGGAAAAATCCGAGCCGACAGTTGCCAGACAATTGCTGAAACATTCACACATGTATTTATGGTAAATTATGGAATAAATATATGATATACTCGGGACTAATCCTCCGGGGGCAATCCAAATGGACAGACAGAGTGAACTTAAAAAACCCCATAGTCATCTGAGTTATTGCTATCAAAATTTACGACAAAAGACGCATAGTTATATACTTACACTCGCTAACTTTTGAATGAAATATACAATCATGATTGTTGGGATTGTTGGGGTTTATAACCATGGCCCGTTCCACGAAATGGTCGCAGTGGTTTGACTATAATATACCCCGTTCACTTGCGCCTCTATACATACGTGTGTAGAAATACATACGTTGGTATACTTGTCATGTGAACGCGGTAACTCATGTGTGTATATTTACACAAGGAGCAAATTTGCATCATGTCTGGAGCAGGTGCAAATGTAAATGTAAATTTGCACTGTGTGTATACATGTATGTTGCAATGTGAACGTTTATGTCAACGTAAGAGGATGATCTAATTAATATCTGTTCGTTTGCCAACACCAAACAAATTGTCAACTTTTTTGCGTACATACAGAGTTGAACGGACGGTGTTTTCTTTTGGTTTCAAGGAGTCAAAACTTTGTGTACAAATTAAATTAAACCCATGTTGCTTCACGCGAAAAGTTTCGGTGAAGTAACTCACTTCTCATTCAACTTTGATTGGAAAACAACTTGTTTTGTGTTGAAAATCGTGAACAGACTGACGAATATGTGTGCCTTACATAATTTCCACACTTTATTTACACACCTAATACCCCGTTCACATGCGCCTCTATACATATGTGTGTATATGTTCACTCGTGTGTAGAAATACATAGGAGAAGTTAAACCATGAACAATACTAGTGAGTGAGTATGTTTTACGCCGCTTTTAGCAATATTCCAGCAATATCGCGGCGGGGAACACCAGAAATGGGCTTCACACATTGTACCCATGTCGGGAATCGGTGACGAGCGAACGCCCCCTATAAACAAAACTAAAACATTCAAGTCAACACATGGGTACAATGTGAAAAACGCATTTCTGGTGTCCCCCGCTGTAATGTTGTCAAATCGCCTAAAAGACAATGAGATGGACCAATATGACTTTTATCTCACCATGCCCTAACACATGGTCCAGAGGCAAGAGCGTCTACTGCCTATTTATAAAAAACTAGGCTTTGATATAGCCTAGTGGACACGCTTGCCTCGGGAAGATGGGTCTTATACAAAATGATAAAAACCCTAACAAAGGAATAGTAACACAAACAGTATGGATGTAAAGTTTTCCTTTGCAATTTTAATATCGTCGATTGCAACAAATGTATCAGACATACTCCTCATTGTACACTAAACTACATTTTAATTCAATTTTCACAATGACTTTCAATTCTCAATGAAAATCAGAAAAAAAATCAAGAAATATAAAAAGCACCTGTTGTGAGATGTACTTTCTCCCGCCATGAAACCAAAAGACGATGAAAGACTAATTGCCGGGGATCAATCGTGATCATTCGTGTCATTCCGGGGCCTGCCGAATTGTTTCTTGTTGGTCACGAACAGGTCGAGTGCTACCGACAGGTCGTGGAATGCGCATTTACAACGCGTGAAAGAAACTACCGATACGAACTCGCTGGTATTTCATTGAGATATGCATCTTATTTGCTATACAGCTTCCACGTGTGGTTTACATGTGGTCACAGCAGCTTGACGTAACAGCGACACACACAACTAATCCGATTACAGGCGTCTGATCTTGGTCCTCACCGACTATATATACCTTCCCTTAATCAGCCAACATCATTACAATCTAGTGAGAGAAAAATTCAAGACTTCTTCAAAATATGAACACCTTCATCGGACTGTTTGTAGCACTGCTAGCTGGTGAGTGTATAACTGTGAATTTTTCATTTCTACATTATTTTTAAAACACGTCAAACAAAATGAAAAATCTAATCAATTTCTTCAAGATTTCTTGAGTATAATGTTTTCCACTTTAGAAATTTCTTTTGGGGGATGTTACACTGATTGGGACGCTTCTGGTGCTGATGAAGCGTCAGTGTATTATTTAATATATGGAGCCGAGAAAGTTCTGCATTAAGAAATGATTGAATATTTAACCGGATTTTAAGGATGAGATGGTGAACCTACTAGCCGCTTTGGTATTATACTCCAAAAGGGGGCTTAGAATGAAATTTGAGTGAAATCTTTTTTCAGAACTCTTACTTTTTACTCTCGGGGCGGTCGGGTAGCCTAGCGGTTAAAGCGTTCGCTCGTCACGCCGAAGATCCGGGTTCGAATCCCGACATGGGTACAATGTGTGAAGCCCAATTCTGGTGTCCCCCGCCGTGATATTGCTGGCATATTGCTAAAAGCGGCGTAAAACCAAACTCACTCACTCACTCTTTACTCTCCGTTGCAGCGTGCCTGATGTCGTTCTCCAACGCCTGTTGTTGTCATCACGGCAGCCACAGCAGCCACCACAGCAGGCACGGCATCCCCATCCCCATCCCCTACCCCATGGGCGGCAGCAGCGGCGGCAGCCACTCCGCCAACATCCCCCTCATCATCACAACGACTGGAAAATAGGAACAGGTGCTCCTAGCGTTGCTCATTCATTTTGATGCTTAGATAATGTTGAAATTGAGATAATGTTATTGTAAGATAAGCCACAGACTGTTGTCAGCAAGTCAAGCTTGCAATGTGACATTCTTACTTGAGATAAGGGCGGTCGGGTAGCCTAGTGGTTAAAGCGTTCGCTCGTCACACCGAAGACCCGACATCGATTCCCGACATGGGTACAATGTGTTAAGACCATTTCTGGCGTCCCCCGCCGTGATATTGCAGGAATATTGCTAAAAGCGGCGTAAAATCATACTCACTCTCTCTCTCTCTCTCTCTCTCACTCACTTGAGATAAAACATATATTGTAGGATCTGACAATAGCCTAACAGAAATAATTACTATAACTGTAATAAAAAATCATACTATTAAATTCGGTCACATGAGCCCTAGTTGTTGGGTTGCTGTATATGTACAAGCCAACATCCACTGATCACGGGTTTGAATCCAATATTTGCCCCGATTATGACCTTTCGTCGGTCAGAAACCATGCAGGTGGTCGCAGGTTTCAACCAAGTTGGGAATGTGCATGTACATGAACGACCTGCATCACTTTGGGTTCTTGACCCGTGAAGATCCGGGGAAGAATAGGCCTTCAGCAACCCATGCTTGTCGTAAAAGGCGACTTTGGTTGTTAAGGCGACTAACGGGATCGGGTGGTCAGGCTCGCTGACTTGGTTGACGTATGTCATCGTATCCCAATTGTGTGGATCGATGCTCATGATGTCCATCACTGTATTGTCTGGTTCAGACTCGATTATTTACAGACCGCCGTCATATAGCTGGAATATTGCTGAGTGCGGCGTTAAACAACAAACAAACCCACTCACTCACTCACTCACTCACTATTTGAACTGGTCAATATGGATTGATATAACAAATGCATCTTTTTCTGTGACAGGTGCTGGTTCCTTCTTCCTGTTAGTGGAAGCATGTACACGGTGTCAACATGGGACGACAAATCAACTCTACAAATGCCTGACACCTGATACTGTGTTTATGCTTGTGATATTAAACAGATGTACATACTACAAATCGAATTATGCTTTTCCTTGGATATATTTACGACGCTTTTAAACAACTCCCTCGGTTTATAAGAAAGTGCACTGCTCGTAGGGAGAAGAATGAGTGAATTTAATTTAAAGCCGCTTTGAACAGTATTTCAGTTATATCAGAACGTGTCAGCTTAATCTAGGAGGGAATAACACCATAAGAACTAACGAGTACGGGCGGACGGACACAATTTTAAGGATCGTAAGTATTTGAATCCAGGTCAGAGAATCCTGGCCTCTAAGGTAGATAACTCTGCACAACGAGTTCCGGCGTTATAACATAGTGACAAAAGGAAGTCCTTTATGATCATTATCGAGGCGATCTAGGATTCGATCCTACAACCAACGTCTAGAAAAAGGAGAATCAGAATTGAAAGGCGTGCTTTGTAAAATATCTGGAAAAGTAATGTATTATATGTATGCCGTTTTTGTTTGATATCAGATACGAACTGACTCTGATATGTATTTACATTTATTGACAGTATTGTGGGTGTTAGAATACAGATATTTGTCATTTTATACAATCTGTTGCTTTAACGAGAGAGTACAAATAAAAATAACGCCGTTAATTAAGAAATATATACAGATAAATTGGGTCAAATTACAGAGTAAACGTTACATAATGAACTTAAAAAGGTATATCACTGTCTGTCAGTACTGCGTATTCAATCTGCACTAAATATACTCAGTAAGATAAAGTTACTGTGATGCTCAATTGGACCATAATCTTAGCGGGTAGCAAAGACGAATTCGAGGATCTGTTTTACTGATATCGGAGTGTGATCCAATTGCGGACCCAGCATTTCTAAAAGGAAAGGGTCCAAAATAACAAAATCCTCTCTCTCTAATTTTACTGCCTACAGATACTACTTTGGGGATGGGTGGGTTGAGGTTCAGACCCCCTGGACCCCCACTCTGGATCCGCCAATGTGGCCTGAGGCTACAAAGGAGTACAGACTTACCTCCCTTAGATCCGGTGATCGTGGTTTGAATCCCAGATTAACCCTGAATGTGACCCTTGGTTTCTAAACACCATATCTGTTCGTGCATTTCACCAGAGTAGTAGACTATGGCATTGTCTTTAAACTGACACGCCGCGATATGCCTAAAGATACCAACAGAAGCGACGTTAAGCCAAATTCACTATAAAAGTATCAAATTAGGTCTCAGATATCGAGTCCATCGCGTTACACAACAATGCTTGCATAGCATGTGCTTTATTTACAAATCAGGATTCAAATATAGGCGTTATGCTGCAACTTAAAACATTCCAAAGCGGTATTGAACGTCATCTCAACGCGCATCCTTGCCCCATCTGGCGTCCTCGTAAACAATTTTGTAGCCCGTTAGTTGCATCCGGACTTCACAGTTTCGACCTTCCGCAGTGACATCTCAGACCTGTTCCGAGTTCCTCTCACCCCGTGGGGATTCCTTGCTAGGATTAGTCTCCAGGTACTTTTGTTTGTCGTTAGATTCGACCAAATGGATGAGGTGGCCATGGCCAGGCTCTGTGACTTGGATGATTGCGTGTCAACTTGTCCGCCAGTGTAAAACGTTGGTCATGCTTTCAGTCAGTTTTTCTGGTCCAGATTCGATTCTTTACAGGCCACTGCGATGTAGCTGGATTATTACTGGCTGAATTAAACAATGAAACAAAGGGGCGCGAGATTGCAGAGCCTTTAACAATTGGACTCACTTGATTTTATTTCGTTCATTTGTATATTTAAATATTCTTGCACAGAAATGCATGGCGCCTACAAAGTTTGTTTTGGCAACAACAAGGAATATCTGGGCGTGAGTGCTCTGACATCGTTATCGCCCGTTTAGCTGGCAATAGTTGTTGATCTGTAGTTGATTTATGATAAATCAATGGCTTAAGAGATATCATGTAATTTTATTTGTGTTTATATGACTCGAGGCGTGCACATGCTTGCCGTAAAAGACGACTATGCTTGTCGTAAAAGGCGACTAACGGGATCGGGTGGTCAGGCTCGCTGACTTGGTTGATGCATGTCATCGATCCCAATTGCGTGGATCGATGCTCATAATATTAATCACTGGATTGTCTGGTCCAGACTCGATTATTTACTCGATTATATGACCGCCGTCATATAGCTGGAATTTTGCTGAGTGCGGCGTAAAACAACAAACCAACCAACCAACATAGGCGTGCACTGGCGTTTCGGCATGTTTGTTTCACTCTTGTATTGTTGAAAAGATTATCATACATAAATTGAAGTACTTGTGCCTAAACAGATAATGTTGACGTGTTTATAGTTAAAGGAAGGTTTGAACTGCGGGATGCACACCATACCGAAAATATTTCATATACCTTGAAACACTATCATATTCTAAAATCGGCTCTCTCGAACTACGGTTACCAATGATAGTTATCTGTTATATTATTATTGTTATATTATTCATGTTAGTTATTTAAAGCTTTCTGTACATAAAAAACTTCTAATCAATATTTTCTTGGGTGTATTGAACTGTTCAACAAAGGATCCTAATTGGGGTAAATCTGAGATTCAGACTCAAAGGGACGTAACTCTGCACATCAAATCATGCCGCAATATAGTGAGTGAGTGAGTTTGGTTTTGGACAAACCTAGAAACATAATCGGGGCGAACCGGGATTCGAACCCACAATCATAGGTTTCTGGCGTGCCCAAGGGACGCAACTCTGCACAGCGAATCGCGGCGCCTTAGACGACTGGGCCACCCGTGCCCCCCGCAATATAGAACGGGACCACTTGAGTGTGTAAACACATGACGGACAACGGATTAACAGGTGTGGACACACGGACTGATAGCGCCCTGTGAAGACATTGTCTCAGCTGGCTGGTTTAGGGTTTCGTCGAACCCGACGACGTTGACTCGTTCGTTTCCGTGATATGACTTGCAGTGAGTGAGTGAGTTGGGTTTAATACCGCTTTGAACAGTTCTCCCATATCAAGGCGTATCAGTTCAAAGTAGCAGGAAAGATGCTACAACGCTTACCATTTTGGTAAAACACGCGTATTTTATTGAAAAAATAATAATTAATCAATTATTTATAATTAGGTCTAATCTGGGATTCTAACCCACGATCATCAGATTCTGGCATGACTAAGGGACTCAACTCGAATTCAGGCGCTCTAGACGACTGGGCCACTCGCCCAATCACAATACTTGGGAAGTCAGGCAACATGAGCTGCAGCTCAGTGGGTATATTGATCAATCTGATCTGAGGTCGGGCATCTTACAACTGGTCCTGCTGTACACGTAGCTCAGCTATATCTCACAATGAGTGAGTGAGTGAGTGAGTATGGTTTTACGCCGCTTTTAGCAATATTCCAGCAACATCACGGCGGGGGACACCAGAAATGGGCTTCACGCAATGTACCAATGTCGGGAATCGAACCCGGGTCTTCGGCGTGACGAGCGAACGCTTTAAACACTAGGCTACCCGACCGCCCCCATCTCACAATGACATTCTATATTACTCAAAAGAAGTTAAAGAACACTCAACTTAAAATATGACTGTAGTTACTCTGCTAATTACCGTATTTCCTCTATTAGACGCCGGGCCTCTAATAGAAGCCGGGTCAATTGTTCAGTGCAAAATATAGAAGCCGGGCCTCTAATAGACGCCGGGCCTCTAATAGATATCTGGGAATCAAATAACATTCAACTAAGGACTTCGAGAATTGATTGAGATATATCTACGGATATCTACGAACACAAAATATTTCCATTTCGTGACGATTCGGGACATTCGTGGTCATAGTGAAATGGGGGTATTAATAGAAGCCGGGCCTCCAATAGACGCCGGGCCTCTAATTGACGCCGGGTCAAAGGCTTGTCCGAAATACATAGAAGCCTGGGCGTCTAATACAGGAAACACGGTACTGTAACTTCTTCAGAGTGGTTTACACTGGAACTCTGTACTTGCTACGAAATGCCGACAACATGAGATAAAATATTAAATGAAAGGCATGACAATATAAAACACAACATTTGACAATATCCTCGAATGTATTTATTTTTAGGAAGATTTAATGACATAAGCAATAGAAAGTAGAGGTATGTGTTTGTAAGAACATTCCGCGTTGCGTGACACGTTTTGTTCGTTACAATGACTGACCAGGACATCACGTGACAGCAGCATAGTCTGAAAAGACAGCCAATGATGACGTCAGGGAAAACTCGTTGTCTCAATACATGCATGTATATTTATTAATACCATACACCCTTATGTCCCCAGTAGAATACCTATCGGCTCTATAATCTGACATCGTACCCTGGCTTAACGGAATAAATAGTAATTTAAATCTGTTATTATTACCTGTATTTCAAGATCGCTTCTGATGTTATTGTATATGTGAGTGAAGGAGTGATTATAGTCTTCCGCCGCTTCTAGCCATATTCCAGCAGCAATATTCCAATAGGACATTGAGCGCATATAAGCAAGGAAGATTTATAAAAAAGTAATTTCAATGGTAAGACTTCCGCCCGTATCCCCCCTCAAATATATATATATATATGATTAAAAGGATCGGGCGGAATTCTTTCCATTTCATTTTCCTCTCACATCTGAGTGCAGTGAAATGAGAATCTCAAGTGTTCGGTCCGTTTTGCCGGGGGCGATCAACATCAATTAAAACAAAACATAATATGGAATATGTTAAAATCTACAGACAAAGAGATAATTACCCAATTACTTCTTTAAAAGATCACTGTAAATCGTACTCGTCAAAGTGAAACTTAGAGTTTCCTTTCAACATCAACTTACACGTCACAGACGTATCATGGAATGTGTTTTAATATAAAGAAGACTAATATCCACTTAAGTGCAACTTTATCGTGTCACAGATCGTGATATTTAAAACACGTTGGTTATGTTATTAAGTGTTTTCGAGGTTGAACCAAACATTTGTGATTCTTGGAATACATTCTATACTCTATACTCCATATGTTAATGACTCTATACTCCATATGTTAATGACTCTATACTCCATATGTTAATGCCTCTATACTCCATATGTTAATGCCTCTATACTCCATATGTTAATGACTCTATACTCCATATTTTAATGCCTCTATACTCCATATTTTAATGCCTCTATACTCCATATGTTAATGACTCTATACTCCATATTTTAATGCCTCTATACTCCATATTTTAATGCCTCTATACTCCATATGTTAATGACTCTATACTCCATATGTTAATGACTCTATACTCATTTTTTAATAGCTTCGTACTTTAATGACTCCTCACTCCATACTTAAATGGCTTCGTACTTTAATGACTCCGTAATCCATACTTAAACGGCTTCGTACCTTAATGACTACTTACTCCATACTTAAATGGCTTCGTACTTTAATGACTCAGTACTCCATTCTCAAATAGCTTCGTTCTTTAATGACTCCGTACTCCATAATTAAATGGCTTCGTACTCCAAATGTTGATGCCTCCATGCTCCATATGTTAATGCCTCTATACTCCATATTTTAATGGCTTCGCACTTTAATGACTCCGTACTCAAAACTTTATATGGTGTGTACTCCATACTTCAGTGACTCCGTACTTGAATGACTGTGTACTCCCTATTTCAATGACTCCGGACTTGAACGGCTTCGCAAAGTCGAAGCTCGGTTTTCATAATATCCCCCGACTTTTAGAGGCTTATGTGTTTCCTCATACTTTGTTGACTGCAAATAATTATCAACCCCAAAGAGATAATTATAAAGCAGTGCGTGCGTGCGGTGTGCGAGCGTGCGTGCAGTAGTGAGGGAATGTTTTTTCCGTTCCAACTATAATACAACAGCCTGTGAATAATCGGGTATTCTTCAATCTAACCAATGGTTGATACCATGAGCGTCGACCCACGTCATTCGAGTAGAGTGATACATTACCAGCCAAGTTACACAACGTAACAATCCGATTATCATTACGAACTATTCAAAACATTTTAAAATGTTTTATTTACAATAAACGTGGACCTTCTCTCTCGGAAACCAACAGGGAGGGACGGTCGGGTAGCCTAGTGGTTAAAGCGTTCGCTCGTCACGCTGAAGACCCGGGTTCGAATCCCGACATGGGTACAATGTGTGAAGCCCATTTCTGGTGTCCCCCGCCGTGATATTGCTGGAATATTGCTGAACGCGGCGTAAAACCAAACTCACTCACTCACTCACTCACCAACAGGGAGACGACAGGGACTACTCATGTCAGTTCTGACCCAGAATCCGCACCGTGCGCAGAACACGTGGCTACATAACATAATGCCATTCTTGCAATTTTTTATCAGTTATGCATTTGATATTTCATCCAGGTATTTCATGTATTTATTAATTAACTTCCACGTGTGGTTAACGTGTTGGCACAACAGTGGGTCGTCACAGCGAGACAAAGACTTAACCCGATTAAAGGCGTCGGACGTTTGTCCACCGACACTATATAAACTTATTGAAGACAACCGAACATCACATTATCTTTGGATAAAAAAAATATTCAAGATGAACACCTTCCTCGGCCTCTTTGTGACGCTCCTCCTGACCGGTAAGTTCTTGACAGATATAATACTCAACATTTATAGAGATGCTGATATATTTTATTTTGTTACCAGGGTGAGGTGAGTTGAAATTGGGTTTAACGTCGCGTTCAAGATTATTGCACTTACATAGCGACGTGCATGCACGTGTGTGTGTGTGTGTGTGTGTGGCTGCTTGTACTAGACCGGACTGATGCCGATTTATAGTGCTAGCCCACTGAGATACCATGCCGCAGTTTAACATGAATACCCCACTCAGACACAGTATACTGACTCCGAGCCGACCAGTCCTTGCTTTAACCCCTTAATGCCGAGCGCCAGACAGGGTAACAACAAGTACCATGATCTTTTAAGGTCTTTTGGTATGACGCGGCCGGGGATCGAACCCGGACCTTCCGCTCTCCGGGCGGACGCTCTACCACTAGACCACGGAGGCGGTCTGTTACCAGGGAAACAACTTATGTTGATTTATTGAAAAGAATCTGATAAGCGTCAATATAAAATACTACCTGCATGAAACATCTCCCAGCAATTAGTCCCTGTCTGGACGAATATCCTTATACAGTATACTTCCATAGCTCTCAGATTAGACGCTACTCAACAAAACAGTAAGAACCTTCCACAAGCTAAACACATAGTATACTGTTAATAATAGTTGTATAATAGTCGTAATATCATCTAAACCTTTCTCCATTTCTTCCGTTCTTTTCACTTAAGTTATTTTTTTATGCAAATTGTATGAATGACGGGTTCTGCCGGTCGGGCAGGACATGCTTATCGATTCCGCGAACACCTGGTGTGTGGTCCGTTCATTTAATTTCACCTATTGTCCTTTACGTCAAGTGTAATCTTTTTCAGCAGAAGACATTAGCTGGTTATTCTCTTGCATTGCAAATTTATATCTAATAATGTGTATGTTTATAAAAATGAGACACCAAGGCACTCGTTGGCTTCTGCATTTGGACCAAAGTTTCGAAGTTTCGTCATGTAAAAATAATGTAATTCTATCATAAACATCAGTCATTTCTGTGAGGCTGGGGACACTGAATTGGAAGCTAAATTATAGAATCGTGCACCATATTATAGAATGATTAAAAACACATACATGGAAATCTGACACTCTGTACATTGTCATTTAGGTTTTATGTTTATATCAGTGTGCTGGTATGAGAAAGAGAAGGTCAACCTCCAACTGGACTAACATTGCACCATACTTTAAACTCACTGCGTATACCATTCGTCAGTGCTCCGACACAATACAGGTAGACTGCTGAAGGCGGATGACAACGCCTAACGACATTCATTAATTTTTTTTTTGCTCCTTTCAAATTCGGATTCTTAACACTAGCGGTTTGAATCCCACTTCGCCCCGGGAGTTTATAGGTTTGTCAGCACCATACCAGTGTTCGTGTGTTTTACCAATGTTGTAAACGTCTGAGACCTGTCACTCGGGCTTTTCCTCCCACATTAAACCGTGATATAACTGGTAATACTGTTAGGCGGCGTTAAACCCAGCTTACTCACTCACTCATTCTCTTGACATTAACTGTACGATGTTAACAATGGTAGTATATTCAGATGCACTTTTTATGTTTTCTTTCAGTATGCATGATGTCGTTCTCCGACGCATGCTGTTGTCATCACGGCAGCCACAGCAGCCACCACAGCAGGCACGGCATCCCCGTCCCCATCCCCTACCCCATGGGCGGTAGCGGCGGTGGCAGCCACTCCGCCAACATCCCCCTCATCATCACAACAACAGGAAAATAGACACAGGTACATCACAAACCTTTCCTAACCAAATCAAAATCGGCGACATGGATGATACAGTTATGTAAGCAACGATTTAAGTTATGCTGTGAAGAGTTGCTCCCCTTAGTCTTGTCAGGTTCTGCTGATAATGTTTCGAATCCAGGATTTACCTCGATTACTGTCAGCATGATACTTGATATATCATGCATATATATATATATATATATATATATATATATATATATATATATATATATATATATAAAATTGGGTATATGATCTTGTTTTAAAGGTAGGCAAACTCTGTGTGTGTGGCTGTTTGTACCGGTCCGTACATATGTGCTTGCCCACTGAGATACCATGCGACAGTTTAGCTTTCTATTCCACTCAGACACTTACTTTCTTCTAGCCGACAAGCCCTTGTTTTATCCCCTTAATGCCGAGCGCCAGGCATGAAGGTTAGTTTTGAGATACGAGGGGGTATCAAAAGGTTTTGAGCCTAACATAGTTTTGAGTTAAAATGCTTCTGTTCTTCCGTTCTGTCGTTCCATCTGGTCTGCCAGTTAGTTGTACCCCGTCTGTAGACGGCCATATCTTGGTCCCCAAACTACACAGCAGTAAGTTCGTTATGATCGCTAAATCTTTGGCCACGCAAGTGCTTTTCCAAATTTGGAAATAGATGATACTCACTTGGTACCAAGTTTGGAGAATAGGGCGGACGAGGCAAGACGTTTAACCTGCATTCGTTAACAGCAGAAATATTGGTAAAAGCGGCGTAAAATATAAAACCATACTCACTCATTCACTTATTCCATATTATATTTTATACAGGTGTTGCCCCTCCTGCTGGCGGGAGAGAGTCTGCTACATCAACACGAGTCGTCGACGAGATGCTACATATTCCAAACACCAAGGCCTGATGTTTACTGCTGATGTGCTATTAAACAAACATATATACATATTCATCTTTGCTTTTTTTCAATTAAACCTGAAGTGAAGACTTGTACAGGACAGGGCGAGCTCTATTTCTCTCCTTGGCAGACACGAATGTTGTCGGTGTCATGTCTGCCTGACTTGTATATAGTTGATACAGTACACACACTGGTACATGCATGTATGCTTGTTCACACACTGGTACATATGCTTGTTCACACACTGGTGCATATGCTTGTACATATGCTTGTTCACACACTGGTACATATGCTAGTACATATGCTTGTTCACACACTGGTACATATGCTTGTTCACACACTATTACATATGCTTGTTCACACACTGGTACATATGCTTGTTCTCACACTGGTACACATGCTTGTACACACACTGGTACACATGCTTGTTCAGACACTGGTACATATGCTTGTACACACACTGGTACATATGCTTGTTCACACACTGGTACATATGCTTGTTCACACACTGGTACACATGCTTGTACATATGCCTGTTCACACACTGGTGCATATGCTTGTACCCACACTGTTACATATGCTTGTTCACACACTGGTACATATCCCTGTACCCACGCTGGTACATATGCTTGTACCCACACTGGTGCATATGCTTGTACACACACTGGTACATATGCTTGTACATATGCCTGTTCACACACTGGTACATATGCTTGTTCACACACTGGTACATATGCTTGTTCACACACTGGTACATATGTTTGTTCACACACTGGTACATATGCTTGTTCACACACTATTACATATACTTGTTTAAACACTGTTACATATGCTTGTTCAAACACTGTTACATATGCTTGTTCACACACTGGTACATATGCTTGTTCAGACACTTGTGCATATGCTTGTTCAAACACTGTTACATATGCTTGTTCAAACACTGTTACATATGCTTGTTCACACACTGTTATATATGCTTGTTCACACACTGTTACATATGCTTGTTCACACACTGTTACATATGCTTGTTCAGACACTGGTACATATGCTTGTTCAGACACTGGTACATATGCTTGTTCACACACTGGTACATATGCTTGTTCACACACTGGCACATATGCTTGTTCACACACTGGCACATATGCTTGTTCACACACTGGCACATATGCTTGTACACACATTGGTACATATGCTTGTTCAGACACTGGTACATATGCTTGTTCACACACTGGTACATATGCTTGTTCACACACTGGTACATATGCTTGTTAACACACTGGCACATATGCTTGTTCACACACTGGCACATATGCTTGTTCACACACTGGCACATATGCTTGTACACACATTGGTACATATGCTTGTTCACACACTGTTACATACGCTTGTTCACACACTGATTATTATGCTTGTTCACACACTGTTAGATATGCTTGTTCACACACTGTTACATATGCTTGTTCACACACTGTTAGATATGCTTGTTCACACACTGTTACATATGCTTGTTCACACACTGTTACATATGCTTGTTCACACACTGTTACATATGTTTGTTCACACACTGGTACATATGCTTGTTCACACACTGGTACATATGCTTATTCACACACTGGTACATATGCTTGTTCACACGCTGGTGCATGTGCTTGTACACACACTGGTACATATGCTTGTTCAGACACTGGTACACACTGGTACATATGCTTGTTCACACACTGGTACACACTTGTTCACACTCTGGTACACACTGGTACATATGTTTGTTCACACAATGGTACACTCTGGTACACACGTGTACACACTGGTACACTCTGGTACACACTTGTTCACACCCTGGTACAGAGACAGTCATACATCATTGTAGCACCAGATAATATCATGCCTCTCACTGTCGGTGGCCATGCCTGAAAAACACTCGCCAACATTAACAGCATGGTTGAAACCGTTGCGAGCTGTTTTCGAATATATCCAGTTATAATGTATCGTGTCCAAATATTATGCACATATACTTTGTACAATCAAATTCGTGTTTGTAGCTTCCATGAATTTCTGTGAAATATTTAAGATTTAGTGAAGTTAGTGAGTATGGTTTTACGCCACAATTAGCAATATTCCAGCAATATCACGGCGGGGGGACACCAGAGTGGGCTTCACACATTGTACCCATGTCGGGAATTGAACCCGGGTCTTCGGCGTGACGAGCGAACGCTTTAACCACTAGGCTACCCGACCGCCCCGTTAAAAATAAGAAGTTTGGCCAGGTTAAATATTGGATTAGCAACGATCAAGCGGGCCTAAGTTGAAAAACAATCACCCAGGTCACACATTGTGTTTATCGACAAGAGGGCCACGTCGCCTACATGTATATTCAATTTAGTTGTGGGTTTGTGTTTGTCACGGGTGCCACTGGTGGAGCAGGATACGCTCAACTTTTTGCGAACATCTGGTATCATCACTATTTGATAGTGATTCATGAAGACATGATTATGATATAGAGATTTAGCATGTTTTTTAATGATAAAAGAAAGGGCATTGTCACTATAAATGTATTTCACATGTGACGCGAAGTTTCCGATTGTGTTTGAGTGAGATTTTCTTTTTCAAATTAATACAAAAGGTAACTTGATCAGTTTGTGAATTTACAATATTTGACAATGAAGGATTCAACTGTATTTTCATGGGGGATTTATACTATTGACATTGATCGGGTTGTCAGGCTCGCTGACTTGGTTGATACATGTCATCGGCCCCGATTGCGTGGATCGATGTACACGATGTCAATCACTGGATTGTCTGGTTTAGACTTTATTATTTACAGACCGCAGTCATAGAGCTGGAATATTGCTGAGTGCGGCGTTAAACAACAAACAAACAAACATTTAATAATGCTTGGTAATGGTCAAATGTTTTGAGCTGCACAATATATTTGTCATATAATATAATCATGCTTATGACAAACAAAGGTACTGTAGGTCTACTTAAGCTTAAGTTCGGACCTCTGGGGTTTAACAGGTACTTACCATACAGTATATAATACTACACGTACATTCATCACAAACTAAACACTTCAAGAAAACAACTTAAATTTATATAAAATAGAATTAAGACCAGGACATGATATGAAGTAGATATATTCCTGACAATCATATTCCCGACAATCATATTCCTGACAATCATATTCCTGACAACATTTCGATACAAACTATCAGTTCATATCCATTATTTATGAAAAACAGATTTTTTAACAAGAATAGCATTTCAGACATTGTGCGAATAACATCATGTACATTAATATGTGCATTGTGTGGATAGAAACTACCATTGTATTATAACAGTTATATTGCGTGAAAAAGGGAGTTATTTATGATGATAAGTTCCCCCGTCTTTACAGCACATGACGCCCATGACGCAGTATTGTGCTCTTGCTGTGTCCACTCGTGACCACTCGTGTCATTCCGGAACAAGCCGAGTTGGGTCTCGTGGCCCAATCGACGCCATTTTCCAAACTTTGCAAAGGAGCAAAGCGAAACATATATAGTTCAAAAGAAAAATATATATATACACACACACTCACACACGCACGCACTCAAACACACGCACGCACGCACGCACGCACGCACGCACGCACGCACGCACGCACGCACGCACGCACACACACAAACACACACATGCACGCCCGCACGCACTCACACACGCATGTGCATTCTTTGGCCAAATAAAAAAATATAATCATACACGCATTAAACGAATGTTCGCGTGTCTTCATTAACCATGGTATGTGGGTTCGCATGATCGTTATTTTGTTGGTGGTATGATGATCCTCAGTAAATACATGGACATGTATCATATGTTTGAATAATATGGAATAATCAACACGCTATGAAACTTGTCAAACACTAACGGAATGCCACACGTGGTGCAGCACGGTGTCATATGTCAGTCCAGCGTTTATCTCTGTCCTAGTATTTGCATATTGATCAAGATGCCACACACTAACATGTTAGGGTCAACGTTAGTGAATGAGAACAGTTGAATGTAAGTGAGTGAGTGAGTGAGTGAGTGAGTGAGTGAGTGAGTGAGTTGGGTTTAACGCCGCTTTGAACAGAATTCCAGTATATATCGCGGCGTGTTAGCTTAATGTGGCAGGAAAGCCCTGTTGATTAGACCTATCAGTAATGCTGGATGAGACGTATCAGTAATGTTTGTCGAGACGTATCAGTAATGTTTGATGAGAAGTATCAGTGATGTTTGATGAGAAGTATTAGTAATGTTTGATGAGACGTATCAGTAATGTTTGATGAGAAGTATTAGTAATGTTTGATGAGACGTATCAGTAATGTTTGATGAGAAGTATTAGTAATGTTTGATGAGACGTGCCAGTAATGTTGATGAGACGTATCAATAATGTTTGATAAGAAGTATCTGTAATGTTTGATGAGAAGTATCAGTAATGTTTGAAGAGAAGTATCAGTAATGTTTGATGAGAAGTATCAGTGATGTTTGATGAGACGTATCAGTAATATTTGATGAGACGTATCTGTAATGTTTGATGAGAAGTATCAGTAATATTTGATGAGAAGTATCAGTAATGTTTGAAGAAAAGTATCAGTAATGTTTGATGAGAAGTAGCTGTAATGTTTGAAGAGAAGTATCAGTAATGTTTGATGAGACGTATCTGTAATGTTTGAAGAGAAGTATCAGTAATGTTTGATGAGACGTATCTGTAATGTTTGAAGAGAAGTATCAGTAATGTTTGATGAGACGTATCAATAATGTTTGAAGAGAAGTATCAGTAATGTTTGATGAGAAGTATATGTAATGTTTGATGAGAAGTATCAGTAATATTTGATGAGACGTATCTGTAATGTTTGATGAGAAGTATCAGTAATGTTTGATGAGAAGTATCAGTAATGTTTGATGAGAAGTATCAGTAATGTTTGAAGAGAAGTATCAGTAATGTTTGATGAGAAGTATCAGTAATGTTTGATGAGAAGTATTAGTGATGTCGATGAGAAGTATATGTAATGTTGATGAGAAGTATCAGTAATGTTTGATGAGACGTATCAGTAATGTTTGATTAGACGTATCAGTAATGTTTGATAAGAAATATCAATAATGTTTGATGAGATGTATCAGTATTGTTTGAAGAGAAGTATCAGTAATGTTTGATGAGAAGTATCTGTAATGTTTGATGAGAAGTATCAGTAATGTTTGATGAGACGTATGAGTAATGTTTGAATAGAAGTATCAGTAATGTTTGAAGAGAAGTATATGTAATGTTTGATGAGAAGTATCAGTAATGTTTGATGAGAAGTATCTGTAATGTTTGATGAGATTATCAGGAAAGTTTGATGACAAGCATCAGCAATGCTTGATCAGGAATGTTTGATGAAAAGTATTTGTTATGTTTAATTAGAAGTATCAGTAATGTTTGATGAGACGTTTGAGTAATGTTTGATGAGAAGTATCAGTAATGTTTGATGAGACATATCCATTATGTTTGAAGAGAAATATCAGTAATGTTTAATGAGAGTGAGTGAGTAAGTATGGTTTTACGCCGCTTTTAGCAATATTCCCGCAATATCACGGCGGGGACACCAGAAATGGGCTTCACACATTGTACCCATGTCGGGAATCGAAACCGGGTCTTCGGCGTGACGAGCGAACGCTTAAACCACAAGGCTACCCGACCGCCCCGTTTAATGAGAAGTATAAGAACTGTTTTATAAGAAGTATCAGTAACGCTTAATGAGACGTATCAGTAACGTTTAATGAGACGTATCAGTAACGCTTGAAGAGACGTGTCAGTAATGTTATAACTATAACGTCAACACCAGTATTTTATTAAATGTACAACAGATGTTACATTTAGTAGATGTACATGAGCAATAAGTTTGACTTATGTTCGATTAAGCTGATAAACATTTGATTAATGACGAGTGGGATTAATATTTCATAAGGAGTACGAGCAATGTTTGTTGAAGGGTGTCTTTTTATTAGAGATTATAGCATGCCGGCGGTTTAATGATAATTCTATCCATTTTAGCTTTAATGGGACGTCATCTGGTTTGTTCTATGACCGTTTCCATATTTGTAAATGTGGGTCAGTGACATTCGTTGTGTGTTGACTGCAGTAAATGTTTTCCAAACCGATATTGTTATTTATATTTATTTGATAACAAATTCTATCCATTTTAGCTTTAAGATAAGGGCAACGCTATTTTTCAGGGTATTATCATTTGCAGAAGCCCGAGGTCTTCCATTAACTGCCCGACGAAGGAGGAAGGGGGAAGAGCCCTAAAATAGCGTTACCCTTATAATAACAATATTTAACTAATGAAGTTTTATGCATGTTTCTTTTGGCACACATAACATAAAGTGAATTCTCGTTTTTCTTATGAGTACGGACACGACGGTACAATTCTATCTTTAACCATGCTCACAAATCATAAGGAGGTCTATATTTCACAGTAACACTGCTGGCATTAAAACACAAACTTTCACGTTCAGGAAGGAGGATCGGTTCAATAAAAATACCTATATTCGTATTATTTTGGCGACCTCTGCTAACTTGGCGGAGTTTGTGGCGCATGTCATTAAAATTTGATTATATGTACATGTTGGAAGATAGGTCTAATGTAGTTGTTGTGGTCAATCTGCCAGCTGGAGTTTACATGTTTACACATCCAGCTGAAGATGTCATTCCGGGCCACAGATGACAAATGTCGTCCGGTTGTCTAAACCGCCGCTGTTAACTGTACATTATTGCGTTCTTTTGCTGTGCCACGACTCATTAGTATTGGGTTCGAATCCCAATATCCTTGACTAAGATCCTTGGTTTGTCAGCACCACACCCGTGCTTGTAGGTTTCGCCAAACGGTAAACGCCTACGATCTGCATCATTGTGGGCCTTCCTTCGGCATGAAACTGACACACCGTGATATGACAAGCTGTTCAATGCAATTTCCTCCATTATCAAACTGACACGAAGGGGTACGACTACTATATATTTTACTGTTCAAAAGGGCGTTACACTCACACTATGAATACGTATCAACGTGAAGATTCCAGATTAGAATTGATCTTCAGCAACTCATGCTTGTTGGAAGAGGCAACTAAGGGGATCGGGTGGTCAAGCTCGCTGACCTGGTTGATGCATGTCATCATATCCCAGTTGTGTAGATCGATGCTCATGATGTCAATCATAGGATTCTCTGGCCCGCTGTCATATAGCTGGAATATTCCTGAGTGCGGCATTAAACAACAAACAAACAATTTGAAACAAACACTGTACCTCAGTGTCTAGGGGGTTAAAATGACCCATATGCTTCAAAAAGGCACACCATTGTCAGTCTGATATTATATTCATCGGTTGTGCAAGGACATTTATTATACTATATGATCATTACTTTGCATGTTTAATTTCACCTGTCATCGTTCTAAGTGGTGTAATTTTCCTACCGCGAAGACAGCGGTAAGGCAAGCTTTTTCCGCATCCCCGTAGTTCGTAATGGGATTAAAGGCGTATTAAAAGACTTGTGGATCCTATAAAAAACATACCCACAAACTATCACAGTCACAGTGTCTTAAACTACAACACAACTACAAGATGAGAACTTTCCTTGGACTCTTCGTGGTTCTCTTTATAGCCGGTAAGCAACTATTTCTTTCTCACATTATGGACGACAAAGCTTTTAAATAATGACACCGTTTGTCAACTTGGTAAGTTGGTGTAAAAACGAGATTAATGGATTAATTGAAGACCACATTTAACCCCGATTGGACTTGTCCGACATTGTCGCGGTCGGATTCTATTATTCAGGGAGTCATCGTTATTAAATACGGGTTTTTATTCAAAGCGTGTACCTTTAACTAACATTCTTAAAAGAGTCTGTACGAAGTGTTGATATTTCATACAAGAAATAAACGACTCGTTGTTGATTATCGTACAATAAAACACTGCTGTATTTTGTTGGTATCATAAACAACTCCCACTCGTCGTTTATTTCTTAATTAATGTTTTCGCAAGGTAAATAGTCGTTCTAACCTACGCCATCACATCAGTTGCTTGAAGGGATGATGTTGGATACATTTTTCAACATTTCCCAAAATAACAGTGGGTGAAATATACATAATCACATCAACAATGACTAGTTAGTGATTATGTTTCTTTCACTGCAGGTTTGTTTGTTTGTTTGTTTGTTTGTTTTTTGTTTAACGCCGCACTCAGCAATATTCCAGCAATATGAGGGCGGTCTGTAAATACTCGAGTCTGGACCAGACAATCCAGTGATTGACATCATGTGCATCGCTCTACCCAATTGAGTTACGATGACATGCTTGGACTTTCACAAATCATCCTCTCATTCTTGTGTTTCCAGTGTGCCTGACGCCCTACTCAGACGCCTGCTGTTGTCATCACGGCAGTCACCACAGCCACCACAGCAGGCACGGCATCCCCATCCCCATCCCCTACCCCATGGGCGGCAGCAGCGGCGGCAGCCACTCCGCCAACATCCCCCTCATCATCACAACAACAGGAAAATAGAAACATGTACGTCTAGCTGTCTTTCAATTATATACTGACGGAACCAAAATAGCGGAACATGTAGTTTACATGCTGACGTCGCATGGCAGGACAAGGCCGTAGTTAACTTTTTTTGACAGGGGAAATTTATGCAAATTGTATGAATGGCTGGTGCTACCGGTAGGGGAGGACATGCTTACCATTTTCGCGAACACCTGGTGTCATCACTGATTTTCAGTTGTCCAGTCATATAATTTCCAAAGCTATTTGCCCTTTACGCCAAGTGGAATCTGTTTTGGCTGAAAATCTAGACTGGTTATTTCCATGCATTGACCATTTATATTGTTAAGGATACAAATGCTTAGTCAATACCATGTCTTAGTTTCATTATATCTCTCCATCAATATCATTCAAAGTGTTCAACATACAATGTGTATGCTGTGCCGGGGTGAACTGGGTTTCCACACTAACACAACTGTATTGTCACATGTGGCAGTTAAGCTGAAGGTTGATAATGTAACCATGCTCCAAGCTTTCGAGGGTCGGTGGGGTAGCCTAGTGGTTAAAGCGTTCGCTCGTCACGCCGTAGACCCGGGTTCGATTCCCGACATGGGTACAATATGTGAAGCCAATTTCTGGTGTCCCCCGCCGTGATGTTGCTGGAATATTGCTGAAAGCGGCGTAAAACCATACTCACTCACTTACTCACCCAAGCTTTCGAGGTACGATGAACTACAGCTGAAAACAATGGATTGTTAAAAGATTGGTCTGCTCCTTTCGAAAGTTTCCTGCAGATGTCTGCTCAATTGTGTTTCGTGATACAAATGACAAGCAACAGTTTTCACGTCAACCTTTTCATGATTTGTTTCAGATGACGTGGTCAACTTCGGCGAAGGTCAAGTTAATGGTTCCAGTCTTTTTCTTCGCCCTCCCACCTGTATGTCATTATGAATAAAATCTTCTTGAAAATCACCATTTCTTCGTTTTTGCATGTAATTAACACGCGCATGTGCACGCCTACTGATATAGCTTGAATTAAATCCGCGTAGAACACATATCTTTAAATAAAACAGTGCAACTCCATACACCTTGATTTAAGTTATACTTTAAGTATGACCTTGAAACATCATATACTTTGAAGTAGACCATGTTTCAACAAGACGACGTAGAACCATCTACTGTCGGCCTACCTACTCGGGCAATCAATTATTTTTTTAGAATTAAGTCCTGTTGCAAATAAAAGCAAGACAATCCTTTCCATAATCCTAAGAAATCTCTGCTAAAATTGTGTCCATTGTACGATTCCGATAATATCATAAGCCTCTTAATGAATCACTATGAAATAGTGATAATACCAAGTGTTCACGAAAAGGTGAGCGTGTCGTGCCCTTCCCATGGCACCCGTCACAAACACATGCAAAGGAAAGCGAATTGTTCTTCTGAAAAAAAACCCCCAAAAAACATGGGAACGTGTATTACAAGTCAAAATAGGAAATTAAAAAATGTAAATGATGCATCAAATTTGGAAATGTCCAACATGTGTCCGCCATAAAATGTTTGAAAAGCTTCACTATAGCGATGAATGTTGTTACCCTGATAACAAACAACCTTTGTGTATGGCGCTTTCGTCCTCCAAAGAAGGAGCATGCTCTAATGTACCCCAAAAGTTGTGAAATGAAGACACCGATGAAATATTTTTCGACATAAAGGGAAAGTTGACATGATGACGCGGTATCACTGGTCTTTTTTGTTTCTAGCCCAGGTGGGAATATCAGATCTTCGATATACCTGAAGCTTAATTTGAACATCTTTGCCCTATTCCCTTGAAATTCCGATTCACATGCATGAAGAGATCAACAAGATGGAACCACGCTTTGTGTCCAGGGTGATGTTCAATTCTTGCCCAAAATGTCATATCTCCAAATTCTATATACACTCTCCAAAAAAAGAAACGCACAGGTAGATTTTTAGTAAATCTATTGTGCCTAATGAAGTCGATATGTTTAATCTAATATCATAGATACAAATATGAAATGTTGGAGCGCGATAGTCACATGTTGTCGCTGTACAAAGGCATTGAAAAGTGTTCATTGTCATGTAACATAAGGCCACAAGGTGGCGCTGAACTCATTCCCCGCACAATATTCCATTTATATCACGGCGTGTCAGCCTAATGTCGGAGGAAAGCCCGAAGTGATGCAGGTCTTAGGCGATTACCACTTCGGTGAAACCCACGAGCAGAGGTATGTGCTGACAAACCTAGAAACATAATCGAGACGGACCGGGATTCGAACCCTCAATCATAGGTTCCTGGCGTGCACAGCGAATTACGGCGCCTTAGACGACTTGGCCAACCGTGCCCCCTGTTATCTGTAAGCAAGTCCAGCATTTCACATATCGTTTTCTCAGTGAACTTGTTTGACAAATTGTCCTGGATGTCGTTGTACAAAGCGATATTGGCGCTAAGGTGATCGTAACTCCAATGCATTAACATAGAGTTAGGGCTAAGGTTGTTCCGTACAACGGCAGCCAGAACCTTTAAAGATAGAGTGAGTGAGTGAGTGAGTTTGGATTTACGCCGCGTTCAGCAATATTCCATTAGGGGACACCAGAAATGGGGTTCACACATTGTACCCATGTCGGGAATCGAACCCGGGTCTTCGGCGTGACGAGCGAATGCTTTAACCACTGGGCTACCCGACCGCCCCTTTAAAGATAGAGATGTTACTATATGTATGGTCACGATGTGTAGTCACAAAAGCTGCCCCATGGTTCAAGGAATTGAGTTTTTCCTTCAGTTTGTCGTGTAGGGTAGTTGAGTAAAACTATAGAAATTGTAAATACTTTGAGTTTTGAGAATCCACACGGAACCAATTCCACTTGTGAAAATATAGGAAAAGGTGAGGTGAAATGGGGCTTAACGTCGCGTCCAAGATTATTGCACTCATATAGCGACGTGCATGCACGTGTATGTGTGTGTGTGTGTGGCTGCTTGTACTAGGCCGGACTGATGTCGATTTATAGTGCTAGCTCACTGAGATACCATGCCGCAGTTTAACATGAATACCCCACCCAGGCACAGTATACTGACTCCGAGGACTCCTGTCCTTGTTTTAGCCCCTTAATGCCGAGCGCCAGACAAGGTAACAACAAGTACCATCTTTTGGTATGACGCGGTCGGGGATCGAACCCCGGACCTTCCGCTCTCCGGGTGGACGCTCTACCATTAGACCACGGAGGCGGTCGATTGTATTAAAGATTATGGTTAATCTTTGAGGTTGGTTGGTTTGTTGTTTAACGCCGCACTCAGCAATATTCCAGCTATATGACGCCGTCTGTAAATAATCGAGTCTTGAACAGACAATCCAGTGATTGATATCATGAGCATCGATCCACGCAAGTGGGATCGATGACATGCATCAACAAAGTCAGCGAGCGGGACAACCCGATCCCGTTAGTCACCTCTTACGACAAGCATAGTCGCCTTTAACGGCAAGCATGGATGCTGAAGACCTATTCTACCCCGGATCTTCACGGGTTCTTTGTGGTAAGGAATCGGTGGATTCGCTGGACCCAGCAATATATATCACCTCGTTAGGATTTTTATGAAACTTTGGAACCCATTACAAAATAGGAATTTGCATGTCTTCAGGCTGTGGTGTTTTATGACAATTAGTGTCGTGATGTTTACACATAATAGCTATGTTATTTGAGTTTGTGCATTCTACCAATGACATATCACATGCTGGCTTAACATTCCATGTCGGACACTCGGCGTTTGGATGACAGCTGGCTAGGACAGAATGGCATATGACATATCACACACTTACTCAACCCACTCTGAAATACATTCCACAGCTTCATCTTTTATATTGGCCATTTCACAGTTTTATGTCCTTGCTGATGGGACCGCCTCCGTGGTCTTGTGGTAGAGCGTCCGCCCGGAGAGCGGAAGGTCCAGGGTTCGATCCCGGGCCGCGTCATACAAAAAGACGTTAAAAGATTGTACTTGTTGTTACCCTGTCTGGCGCTCGGCATTAAGGGGTTAAAACAAGGACTGGTCGGCTCGGAGTCAGTATACTGTGTCTGAGTGAGGTATTCATGTTAAACTGCGGCCTGGTATCTCAGTGAGCTAGCACTATAAATCGGCATCAGTCCGGACTAGTACAAGCAGCCACACACACACATACACGTGCATGCCCGTCGCTATATAAGTGCAATAATCTTGGACGCGACGTTAAACCCAATTTCACCTCACCTCACCTTGCTGATGGACGTTCGCAAGATAACATACATGGATGTAGCCACGCGCACAATCACGATCACAATGTATAACATACACCTGGATACATGAAATGAAATATATCATGAGGTAATATAGGGCCAAGGAACAGCATATAACCTATAGCAAGACCATGGAACGACCTATACCTTGAAGTATACCCTGAGGTAATACCCGGTTACCTTTTAGTAAGACCACGAAACATAATGAAACTTGAAGTAAGACCATGTAGAAAACATAGACCTTGAAGTAAGACCCTGTGGAAAACATAGACCTTGAATTAAGACCATGTAGATAACATAGACCTTGAAGTAATTAAGTAAGACCATATAGAAAACATAGGCCTTGAAGTAAGACCACGTAGAAACATATAACTTGGAGTAAGATCAAGTAGAAAACATAGACATTGAAGTAAGACCATATAGAAAACATAGACCTTGAAGTAAGACCATGTAGATAACATAGACCTTGAAGTAAGAACATATAGAAAACATAGCCCCTGAAGTAAGACCATGTTGAAACATATACCTTGAAGTAAGACCATGTAGATAACATAGACCTTGAAGTAAGACCATATAGAAAACATAGCCCCTGAAGTAAGACCATGTTGAAACATATACCCTAAAGTAAGACCATGTAGATAACATAGACCTTGAAGTAAGAACATATAGAAAACATAGCCCCTGAAGTAAGACCATGTTGAAACATATACCTTGAAGTAAGACCATGTAGATAACATAGACCTTGAAGTAAGACCATATAGAAAACATAGCCCCTGAAGTAAGACCATGTTGAAACATATACCCTAAAGTAAGACCATGTAGATAACATAGACCTTGAAGTAAGACCATATAGAAAACATAGCCCCTGAAGTAAGACCATGTTGAAACATATACCTTGAAGTAAGACCATGTAGATAACATAGACCTTGAAGTAAGACCATATAGAAAACATAGCCCCTGAAGTAAGACCATGTTGAAACATATACCCTAAAGTAAGACCATGTAGATAACATAGACCTTGAAGTAAGAACATATAGAAAACATAGCCCCTGAAGTAAGACCATGTTGAAACATATAACTTGAAGTAAGACCATGTAGATAACATAGCCCCTGAAGTAAGACCATGTTGAAGCATATACCTTGAAGTAAGACCATGTAGATAACATAGACCTTGAAGTAAGACCATATAGAAAACATAGCCCCTGAAGTAAGACCATGTTGAAACATATACCCTAAAGTAAGACCATGTAGATAACATAGACCTTGAAGTAAGAACATATAGAAAACATAGCCCCTGAAGTAAGACCATGTTGAAACATATACCTTGAAGTAAGACCGCATGAAAACATATAACTTGAAGTAAGACCAAGCAGGAAACATAGACCTTGAAGTAAGACCATGTAGAAAAATAGACCTTGAAGTAAGACCCTGTAACCACACATTCCTTGACCTAAGACCATGTAGCAACATATATCTTGAAGTAAGACTTCAGTAAACTACGGTTATAACGAACTCAAACGGACCACTAATTTTAGTTCGTTATAACCGTAGTTCGTAATAGACATATATGCAACATATACACCAAATGGCAGTGACCAAAAATAGCAGTTTGTTGTATCCGTCAGTTCGTTTTTAGCGTGTAGGAACATTTAACGTGAAGTAAGAACCTGTAACGACACATACCTTGAAATAAGACCATGTAGCAACGTATATTTTGAAGTAAGACCAAGTGACAGCACATACCTCGACGAAAAACCATGTAACAACATATATTTTGAAGTTAGACCATGTAGCAACGTCTACTTTGAGGTAAGGCTACGTAACGACATATATCTTGAAGTAAGGCCATGTAACAACGTGTATCTTGAAGTAAGACTATGTAACAACATGTATCTTGAAGTAAGACTATGTAACAGCACATACCCTGACGTAAGGCCATGTAACAACATATATCTTGAAGTAAGACCATGTAACAACATGTATCTTAAAGTAAGACTATGTAACAACATATATCTTGAAGTAAGACTATGTAACAGCACATACCTTGACGTAAGGCCATGTAACAAAACATTTCTCTTGAAGTTAGACCAAGTAAACATATACTAATATCTCGAAGTAAGACCATGTTACAGCACATACCTTGACTAAGGCCATGTAACAATATATATCTCGAAGTAAGACCATGTTACAGCGCATACCTTGACGTAAGGCCATGCAACAACATATATCTTGAAGTAAGACCCTGTAACAGCACATACCTTACGTAAGGCCATGCAACAACATATATCTTGAAGTAAGACCATGTAACAGCACATACCTTGACGTAAGGCCATGTAACAACATATATCTTGAAGAAAGAGAATGTCACAGCACATACCTTGACGTAAGGCCATGTAACAGCACATACCTTGACGTAAGACCATGTAACAACATATATCTTGAAGTAAGACCATGTAACAACATATACCTTGACGTAAGACCATGTAACAAAATATATCTTGAAGTAAGACCGTGAAACAGCAACATTCAGTACATGCCTGTCTTCATTCTATCACGACAAAATTAAGAACTCTTTAACGTTTGGGAACATTAAAAGTAAAGAGGCATGGGATGAGTCACCATTATGACGTAACACCGTTCATTGTGACGCAGATTCGACGTCCCAGTCAGAGGGAGTTCCAGACTTTCAAACTGTCTTTTGTCCGCACCGGTTGTAATACACTCGAATCCTATGGTGGATTCTGGCCAAAATGTTTTGTCACACAAAGTTTGAATATTGGATTTTGGTTTGGTTGGTTTGTTGTTAAACCCCGCACTCAGCAATATTCCAGCTATATGACGGCGGTCTGTAAATAATCGAGTCTGGACCAAACAATCCAGCGATTAATATCATGAGCATCGATCCACGCAATTGTGATCGATGACATGCTTCAACCAAGTCAGCGAGCCTGACCACCCGATCCCGTTAGTCGCCTTTTACGACAAGCATAGTCGCCTTTTACGGCAAGCATTTGGTTGCTGAAGAACTATTCTATCCCTGTCTTGAATATTGGAGGAGTAGTTCTGCATTTTGTATTGCTACAATTACACATATTGCTATCTAGATATACTAACAAATAAAAGTATTCTAAGTAAGTAAGCTTCTCTGTCCGTCAAAACGACTTCCCAAGGGGTTGTTAAAACCCCTGATTGACCAATCGGAATCGGGTAGTTTCTGAAGTCAAGCTAGAATTTTCAACTGTCATTTGTGTGGTTGTCTGACATGGTCAACCGTGTGGTTCTCCTGCGGTGAAGACAGCGGTAAGGCTAATCATATCGCGAACCCGTGGCTCTGAATCGGATTAAAGGCGTATTGAAGGACGTGTGGATTCTATAAAGGCATCGCCACAAGTTTTCATGGTCACAGTGTCTCAGTCAACACAACACAGCACAGCACAGCACAACTACAAAATGAGAACTTTCTTGGGACTCTTCGCTGTTCTCTTCATGGCCGGTAAGCAACTATTTCTTTCCTACAGTATGGACAGTATTGATTATTTGTAATGTCACGCGATGTCCGCTCTATATGTTGGCGTTTTAAAGATTAATATAACAAAGAACTGACTTTCCATTTAACGAATTAAGAAACACATGCTTAAGTTTCATTTGGATAAAAAACGTTAAGAAAGGTCCTTCAGTGCATAACACTGTTTTGACACAGTGAGTAAACACTAGGACTAATTATTCAAGGACACTATTGTAAATGATCAATTCATTTGTAAAATGTGTATAGACAGAGGTGTTTTAATATTCAGTTTTAAAAAAACCCAAATCACATCAGACGAAGTACAGTCCATAGTTTCCTGTTTTTTCCTCCTGAATATATTAATTTAAAATGAGATATGTTCGTTCAAGCAAAGCGTTTATATTTTACGAATATATTTTTTACTCTTGCAACTTTTGCCGGATCAGCCCAAGAAGTAAAAGTTCATTAAGCAATGCCATAACAGTTATTGTACAGCTTCTGATATATCATCGAGTTTCAAACAGCAGCTGGAAAACATTTGACTGTAAATGACAGGGTTATTCAGACTAAAGAATCTACGGTGATGTATTGATATAAATATTGGTTTATCTTTCTATCGCCGAAATCTTGGGATTTTCATCTTTTACACTGTAATAACGCACATGTAATCCGTAAATTCAACGTACATGATGTAGTTTACAAAAAAATAATCTGAATGCGCTCTTGTTTTAACAGTGTGCCTGACGCCCTACTCCGACGCATGCTGTTGTCATCACGGCAGTCACCACAGCCACCACAGCAGGCACGGCATCCCCATCCCCATCCCCTACCCCATGGGCGGCAGCAGCGGCGGCAGCCACTCCGCCAACATCCCCCTCATCATCACAACAACGGGAAAATAGAAACATGTACGTCTATCTGTTGTTTAAGTGTATACTGACGGAAACAAAATAACGGAAAACGTTGTTCTTAAGGATAAATTACAGCTACGTTTAATACAAATGTTTCATGTTAAAAGTACAAACACACAATCTGGTCTGCTTACTCAGGTTACATACAAGACTTGACATCAATTTAAGTAAAGGTTGATAGTGTAGCCATACTAAACGCCGTCGGGGTGTGATGAACAACAGCTAGGAGTCAATGGAATGTTACACGATCTGACTGCTACCTACAAAATGTTAACCGCACAAATTGAGATTTTACTTCAGATGTCTACAGAAATTCTGCCTTTTTCAGCCTTACCATTATATATGACCTTCTTTTACATGATGATAATGAAGATGAGCAACACTTTAAGATATAAATATTTTCATTTTTTTCAGAGAACGCGTTCAACGTCGTTGACGTTGACGTTGACGTCGCGCGACGTCTTCATATTGGTTCCAGTCTTTGTCCTCACCCTCCTATCGCTGTCTATCTAGCTTCGGCTGATGTCAATGCATTTTGATGAATAAAATCTTGCAAATCACTGTTCCTTATTTTTGTGTTCGTAATCAGACACATGAACGTGCGCATGTGCACACTCACAGATGGATGCCGGAGCATGGGTGGCCCAGTCTTCTAAGGCGCCGCGATTCGCTTTGCAGAGTTGCGTCCCTTGGGCACGCCAGAAACCTATGATTGTAGGTTCGAATCCCGGCTCGCCCCGGTTATGTTTCTAGGTTTGTCCGCACCATACCCGTGCTCGTGGGTTTCACCGAAGTGGTAAACGTCTGAAACCTGCATCACTTCGGGCTTTCCTCCCACATTAAGCTGACACGCCGTGATATAACTGGAATACTGTTAAAAGCGGCGTTAAACCCAACTCACTCACTCACTCACAGAGGACAACATGTTACAACATATACTTGGAAATAAGACATTGTTACAACATATACTTGTAATACATATATCAACATGTACTTGGAAGTAAGACTGCGTTACGACATATACTTGGAGGTATTACCCTGTAACAACATACAATTGGAAATAAGACCATATAACAACATATACTTGGACGTAAGACATTGTTACAACATATACTTGGAAGTTTACCCTATATCAACATATACTTTTAAGTATTACCATATGTCAGCATATACTTGGAAGTAATACCATGTAACAACATATTCTTGGAAGTAAGGCCATGTATCAAAATATACATGTACTTGGACGTAAGACTATGTGACAACATATACTTGGAAGTAATACCCTGTATCAACATTTACATTGAAGTAAGATCATGTTAAACATATACTTGGAAGTATTACCCTATATCAACAAATACATTGAAGTAAGACCATGTTAAACATATACTTGGAAGTATTACCCTATATCAACAAATACATTGAAGTAAGATCATGTTAAACATTTACTTGGAAGTATTACCTTATATCAACAAATACATTGAAGTAAGACCATGTTAAACATTTACTTGGAAGTATTACCATATATCAACAAATACATTGAAGTAAGACCATGTTAAACATATACTTGGAAGTATTACCCTATGTCAACAAATACATTGAAGTAAGACCATGATAAACATATACTTGGAAGTATTACCTTATATCAACAAATACATTGAAGTAAGACCATGTTAAACATATACTTGGAAGTATTACCCTATATCAACAAATACATTGAAGTAAGACCATGTTAAACATATACTTGGAAGTATTACCCTATGTCAACAAATACATTGAAGTAAGACCATGATAAACATATACTTGGAAGTATTACCTTATATCAACAAATACATTGAAGTAAGACCATGTTAAACATATACTTGGAAGTATTACCCTATATCAACAAATACATTGAAGTAAGATCATGTTAAACATTTACTTGGAAGTATTACCATATATCAACAAATACATTGAAGTAAGACCATGTTAAACATATACTTGGAAGTATTACCCTATATCAACAAATACATTGAAGTAAGACCATGTTAAACATATACTTGGAAGTATTACCCTATGTCAACAAATACATTGAAGTAAGACCATGATAAACATATACTTGGAAGTATTACCTTATATCAACAAATACATTGAAGTAAGACCATGTTAAACATATACTTGGAAGTATTACCCTATATCAACAAATACATTGAAGTAAGATCATGTTAAACATTTACTTGGAAGTATTACCATATATCAACAAATACATTGAAGTAAGACCATGTTAAACATATACTTGGAAGTATTACCCTATATCAACAAATACATTGAAGTAAGACCATGTTAAACATATACTTGGAAGTATTACCCTATGTCAACAAATACATTGAAGTAAGACCATGATAAACATATACTTGGAAGTATTACCTTATATCAACAAATACATTGAAGTAAGACCATGTTAAACATATACTTGGAAGTATTACCCTATATCAACAAATACATTGAAGTAAGACCATGTTAAACATATACTTGGAAGTATTACCCTATGTCAACAAATACATTGAAGTAAGACCATGATAAACATATACTTGGAAGTATTACCTTATATCAACAAATACATTGAAGTAAGACCATGTTAAACATATACTTGGAAGTATTACCCTATATCAACAAATACATTGAAGTAAGACCATGTTAAACATATACTTGGAAGTATTACCCTATGTCAACAAATACATTGAAGTAAGACCATGATAAACATATACTTGGAAGTATTACCTTATATCAACAAATACATTGAAGTAAGACCATGTTAAACATATACTTGGAAGTATTACCCTATATCAACAAATACATTGAAGTAAGATCATGTTAAACATTTACTTGGAAGTATTACCATATATCAACAAATACATTGAAGTAAGACCATGTTAAACATATACTTGGAAGTATTACCCTATATCAACAAATACATTGAAGTAAGACCATGTTAAACATATACTTGGAAGTATTACCCTATGTCAACAAATACATTGAAGTAAGACCATGATAAACATATACTTGGAAGTATTACCTTATATCAACAAATACATTGAAGTAAGACCATGTTAAACATATACTTGGAAGTATTACCCTATATCAACAAATACATTGAAGTAAGATCATGTTAAACATTTACTTGGAAGTATTACCATATATCAACAAATACATTGAAGTAAGACCATGTTAAACATATACTTGGAAGTATTACCCTATATCAACAAATACATTGAAGTAAGACCATGTTAAACATATACTTGGAAGTATTACCCTATGTCAACAAATACATTGAAGTAAGACCATGATAAACATATACTTGGAAGTATTACCTTATATCAACAAATACATTGAAGTAAGACCATGTTAAACATATACTTGGAAGTATTACCCTATATCAACAAATACATTGAAGTAAGACCATGTTAAACATATACTTGGAAGTATTACCCTATATCAACAAATACATTGAAGTAAGACCATGTTAAACATATACTTGGAAGTATTACCCTATATCAACAAATACATTGAAGTAAGACCATGTTAAACATATAATCCCTACTGTCGGTATACGTACATTGACTGTCCATGCATGTTTATGACTTCAGTCTTCTTGCAAAGAAATTAAACCCCTTCCATATTGATAAGAAATGTCTGCTAAAAGCAGAGTGCACTGTACGATTCCGACAAAATGATAACCACGTGTCTATGAATCACTATCAGATAGTGGTGACATCAGGTGTATGATGAGCGTACACGCCCCATTGGTTGCTCCCATCACAAACACATGCAAAGGCAGATTAATTGTTCTTCTGGAAAAAAACGTTTTGATAGCTTTAAATGACTTGGGCCTTGAATATGGTAACCCTGATCAAACATACTTTAAGCAAGAATGGTATGACGCTATGAAATCTTTGTAGAGAGAACATGCTCGATTGTACCTAAAATATTGTGAACTTTAGCCACCAACGGCCGGAGCTTCTGAACTATTGCTCGACATAAAGGGAAAGTTGACAGCTTGAAAGTTGAGGTCGATCTTCTCATCATACAGCCTTGTATGTTCACTCTGAATATTTATTCATAGATGTAAATATGAAACCGATGAGGCGGCCTCACAGGCCACGTTTATCTCTTTTTCAGGTGGGTGAACCAGTTGAGTGAGTGAGTGAGTTTGGTTTTACGCCGCTTTTAGCAATATTCCAACAATATCACGGCGGGGGACACCAGAAATGGGCTTCACACATTGTACCCATGTCGGGATTCGAACCCGGGTCTTCGGCGTGACGAGCGAACGCTTTAACCACTAGGCTACCCGACCGCCCCGTGAACCAGTTGAAGGGAATGAACTATTTGATGGTTATTGAACCATTTCAGACTATCGATATACCTGAAGCTTAAGTTATTAAACTTCTTGGCTAAAGTCACTTTTTTTACTTCCATGTGCACAAAAAACAGATCAGCAAGAAGGGAGGCACAATCGGTGCCAATGGGGATGCCTACTTCTTCCCTAAATAGTCTACACCCAAATTTCAGTGTTGACAAATTGTCCTGAACCCTTGAAGATTAAAACATCTCTGAGAACATCACGTTTAGTGATAAATGCCCTATGAATCTATGAATTGAGATTTTTCTTACCTTTGTCGTGTGGGAAAGTGGTGTACAATGTTGAAAAAACGGGTTTTTTTCATAACTGGCCTTAGTTCCTTTCTGAGATTGCAAAACTTCAAGCGAAACCTTTGAGGTTTTTTTAAACTCCACATGGAATTAATTCCACTTGTCGCAACTTTGTTCTGTGAATATAAAGGGAGCCATTCCTTGATTGATTTTTATAGAGCTTTGAAGTCCAGTGCGACAGTCAAGGGAAAGGTTGATAGTATTGATGTATGGTTTGGGCGGAACTGTTCCTTAGTAAAACATAATGATGAAGCCACTCTATTGTTGTGCAATTGATTCTGAGCCACTGGTTCTGCTTCTGAACGTGCATTGAACATGTAAAACTCTTGCAATCATAGGCCATTTATACAGAATTAGAAAGACATTATATATCAACGATGACATACTTTTAATCAGAGAAATCACTCGAATCATCGGATTCTCCATAACTTTATTTTACATACTGGCCTTACACGTGAATGTGGCATTTTTTCAACTTCATTTACAAAACCAGATATTGTTTTATTTAAAACTATAAACCTAAATTTTAAAAAGAAAATCATCTTGCAACAATGTAAATGTTGTGGCAGGAAATTTCTATTTCTTTCAAAAGTTTGAAGCTTAATTATTGTTTTCAAGAATTTCCCATGTAACAAACCAACCAGACCAGAATTCGTAAAAATCACAATGCATTGGCAAGACCCCTCATGACATCAGCAGATGACTTGAGTACCAAGCAGGCATCGATACCATCTCCACTGGCTCCCCATCCCTCAGAACCCCGCAACTAGCCCACCCCCATCCCCACCCCACCCCACCCCACCCCACCCCACCCCACCCAACAAGCAGCCCCTAAAGGAGTGATCTATAAGATTAGTTGTGAGTGTGGTGACTCGTACATTGGTGAAACTTCCCGCCCAGTAGACAAATAACAAAAGACGTCACCAGCCAAAGCAGACAGCAAATCAGCCCTCTCAGACCACTAGCCAAAATTCCCTAGCCATCAAATTCAGTTTTAAAAAGTCCAAATCCTCTCAATCAAACATCAGAACTTCACCAAAAGAAAACTCTCAGAGGCGGCAGAAACCCGCCGCCACAAACCTTTGATCCTCGGAAATCAAAGGTATTACATCTCGTCTGCCGATGAAGATCTAATCAAGCAATAGACTATTTTAATTAGGATCCAATCAGCTTGTCACAACTCTTTAATCTTCTTAATGCTTATCCTTGCTGTACGTCTGGCTTCATTACCTGTGTGCTATTTGTTATTCTTACTGTGCACTTGGCTTCATCCAGTTATCTGTTTGCTACTTGATATCTATTGCCTTTTGTTGACAATGTTCATCTGCTGCTTATCACAACATATCATGCATATATTCCTCTCATCACTTGGTTGTTCTCATTCCAGCTTGATAACGGTGAAGAGTCTACATTAATATTGAAACGTCGCTACATGAAAAAAAATAGAAGTTGTTATCTTTAAAATTGTACGTTTTCTTACTTACTCAATACCTTCTAGAATGCCAATTAAACAATTACCAATGAACAATCTGAACAAAGGTCATGTGACAACAAATATCTTGAAGTAAGAGTAGCTTATAACATATACCTTGAAATATGACCTGGTTACAACATATACCTTGAAGTAAGACCAGCTAACAACATATACCTTGAAGTAAGACCAGGTTACAACATATACCTTGAAGTAAGACCAGATAACAACATATACCTTGAAGTAAGACCAGGTTGCAAGATATACCTTGAAGTAAGACCAGGTTACAACATATACCTTGAAGTAAGACCAGGTTGCAAGATATACCTTGAAGTAAGACCAGGTTACAACATATACCTTGAAGTAAGACCAGGTTACAACATATACCTTGAAGTAAGACCAGGTTGCAAGATATACCTTGAAGTAAGACCAGGTTACAACATATACCTTGAAGTGAGACCAGGTTGCAAGATATACCTTGAACTAAGACCAGGTTACAACATATACCTTGAAGTAAGACCAGGTTACAATATATACCTTGAAGTAAGACCAGGTTACAACATATACCTTGAAGTAAGACCAGGTTACAACATATACCTTGAAGTAAGACCAGGTTACAACATATACCTTGAAGTAAGACCAGGTTACAACATATACCTTGAAGTAAGACCAGGTTACAACATATACCTTGAAGTAAGACCAGGTTACAACATATACCTTGAAGTAAGACCAGGTTGCAAGATATACCTTGAAGTAAGACCAGGTTACAACATATACCTTGAAGTAAGACCAGGTTACAACATATACCTTGAAGTAAGACCAGGTTACAATATATACCTTGATGTGAAAACATGTTACAACATTCAGTGCATGCCTGTCTTCATTCTATCATGACAAAATTAAGTACTTGATAGTGAGTGAGTGAGACAACATGCACTTTAAAGTAAGACCATGTAACAACCTATACTTTGAGTGAGTGAGTGAGTGAGTGAGTGAGTGAGTGAGTGAGTGAGTGAGTGAGTGAGTGAGTGAGTGAGTGAGTTGGGTTTAACACAGCTTTTATCAGTATTACAGTTATATCGCGGCGTGTCAGCTTAATGTGGGAGGAAAGCCCGAAGTGATGCAGGTCTTAGATGTTCCTCACTTCGGTGAAACCCACGAGCACGGATATGGTGCTGACAAACCTAGAAACATACTCGGAACGAACCGGGATTCGAACCCACAGTCATAGGTTTCTGGTGTGGACGCAAATCTGCACAGCGAATCGCAGCGCCTTAGACGACAGGGCCACCCGTGCCTCCAAGCACTTAATAAAACAATTATTTGCGAAGGTAAACAGTTAAGCGGCAAGGGCTGAGTCCAATGTTAAGAGTAGTTTGTCGTTTCAATTAAGCATCATCAATACCAGCCTTCAAGCAATAGTTCGCTATGTATACCTCAACATTTACTTCGATATTCTTGAAACTATAAGATGAGAGCTATAACAAATATGCGAACACCCCAACAGAAAACGAAACGTGCATTGCCATATGCATGTTTCGTTCTGCACCGTACGTCACAATGATGTCGCACCGTACGTCACAATGATGTCGCACCGTACGTCACAATGATGTCGCACAGTACGTCACAATGATGTCGCACCGTACGTCACAGTGATGTCGCACCGTACGTCACAATGATGTCGCACATCACGTCACAATGATGTCGCACATCACGTCACAATGATGTCGCACATCACGTCACAATGATGTCGCACCGTACGTCACAATGATGTCGCACATCACGTCACAATGATGTCGCACATCACGTCACAATGATGTCGCACATCACAATGATGTCGCACATCACGTCACAATGATGTCGCACCGTACGTCACAATGATGTCGCACCGTACGTCACAATGATGTCGCACCGTACGTCACAATGATGTCGCACCGTACGTCACAATGATGTCGCACAGTACGTCACAATGATGTCGCACCGTACGTCACAATGATGTCGCACATCACGTCACAATGATGTCGCACCGTACGTCACAATGATGTCGCGCCGTACGTCACAATGATGTTGCACCGTACGTCACAATGATGTCGCACCGTACGTCACAATGATGTTGCACCGTACGTCACAATGATGTCGCACCGTACGTCACAATGATGTCGCAGACAGGACGTGATTACAGTCAGGGAAAGAAATGCAAATTTTAAACTCCGTGTTTTCCTCTAATATTAAAATTCACTCTCTCAGGATTCCGATCATGCATTCTGCCCAAAATGTATTGCTACAAATAGTTTAAATATTGTTGGAAACGCAACCCTGCTACGTGTACAAGTCATATTGTTATCTTAAAAAGGCATTCCGGCAATGATTAAAAATAAAAGTACTTTCTCATAAATATTATCTTCTGTGGCCGTCAACTCGGCTTTTTCAAGAATTTGTTATTGTGATTTGAAACCCCTGATTAACCAATCACTATAGGACAGTTTGTAGGTTAGTCTAAAAAATTGAAAACATTTTAAAAGATCAATTTATTCAAGCTCTACAAACCCCAAAGCTTGCAACTATAGAATTTACAAAACAAATTTCAAACTTGAACAATATCTTCTCTCATCACCAGAAATCTTTACTCCAATTTTAAAATTCAGAACCCTAAATAATAATATACCGATTGAGAGTGTCCGCTGGGAGGGCATCCCACACAAATATCGCACATGTAAGCTTTGTACCTCCCCTGCCATAGCCGACGAGTTCCACTACCTCTTTAGATGTGAATATTTTGACAAGCAAAGAAAAAAATTAATTGATAATAGATATCTAAACTGGTCAAACATTATTTCCTTTAAGCATTTGATGTCAAATATGAGAACTTACAACCTTAAAAACTGTCTAAATTTGTAAAATATTACTTTCTGTACTAAAGTAAACCACGGTTGCCATTTGATCACATTGTATTTTTGTATATATGTATGCTATTATGTTAATCATGTACCACCGGCCGGTGGTTTGAGTTGAAATTGAAATTGTAGAGTCACGATAGATGTTTCACTTGTCATCGCCTGAGGTTTACTTATGTGGTCGAACATGTGGTTTTCTAACAGCGAAGACAGTGGGAAGGCCAACCTGATGGCGACCCTGTGGTTTTTAATCGGATTAAAGGCGTATTAAAGGACTTGTGGATTCTATAAAAGCATCGCCGCAAGTTTTCATGGTCACAGTGTCTCAGTCAACACAACACAACACAGCACAGCACAACTACAAGATGAGAACTTTCTTTGGACTCTTCGTTGTTCTCTTCATGGCCGGTAAGCAACTATTTCTTTCTTACAGTATGGAGAGTATAGATTATATATAATGGCCCTGGATGTCCACTCTCTTCTGTGGCGATATAACGAAAGTAATATAAAAAAGAGCGGACTTTAACTTTAATGAATTAAGATAATCATGCTTAAGTTTGAATTGCATCAAACACAATGAAAAGGATTCTTTCAGTGAGTTGAGCTGTTTTAGTTGTTCAGTGATGAGAACACAATGCCATTTAGAAAGTGGTCAGATGTAACAAATGTTATATTTTGGATAACACTTTCTTAGTAAAGTACAGTACTTTGTACAATTGTCAGAGGGGTACTCAAAGTACGTGATCTAGACTACCAGTTGTCGGACTTTCATTTTTGTGGAAGCCTCGGTGGCTGAGTGGGTTAGATCGCTGGCGATTAGGTGCCTCACTCTGGCAAGTGTGGGTTTGAACCCCGGATGGGACTCAACCCAAAAAAGTACGAGAATCTGTACTTTACTAAGAAATTGTTATCCCAAATAAAACATTTGTTCTTTCAGTGAGTTGAGCTGTTTTAGTTATTAGAAACTCTAGGAATAATTATTCAAGGACGGTTCTATCAATGATTAGCCATTTGCATAATTTATAATATAAACTGAGGGATTTTCTCCGAAAACAAATAAAATAAAATAAATTACAGTCCATCGTTCCTGTTCTTTCCTCCTAAATTGATCAGTTCAAAATTAAGTCAGCATATATATCTGCCGAAGAACAGCGTTATTATTTTCCTTTGTTTGCAACTTTAAGGCGGTGTCAGCCCTCGAAGATACAGTTTATTAAAAAAGCATTAATTTTCGATTTCAGCTGCATTATAACCAAATTGTTTGTTTAGCAGAGTAAACAGTAATGGATGTCAGCGCAACTGTTCCATCAAAGTTAAATCTGAATAAGATTTAATTGTACATTAGATCCCCGCCCACATTCCATGGTGAGGTTGGTTGGTTGGTTTGTTTGTTGTTTTACGCCGCACTCCGCAATATTCCAGCTATATGACGGCGGTCTGTAAATAATCGAGCCTGGACCAGACAATCCAGTGATTAATATCATGAGCATCGATCCACGCAATTGGGATCGATGACAAGCATCAACTAAGTCAGCGAGTCTGACCACCCGATCTCGTTAGTCGCCTCTTACGACAAGCATTGTCGCCTTTTACGGCAAGCATGGGTTGCTGAAGACCTATTCTACCCCGGATCTTCACGGGTGAGGAATACTGAATATCACATATATCTATTTAGCACGTCCCAATGCCATAGTTACACGTTAAGACATGCAAGGTTATGTTGAGTTTAAATTGCAGTTAAGATAGGAATTATTTAGCAGTTGACAAAGTAGACACAATTTATGGATATCAACTTCTTGTTTGACAACGGTCTGAGGATCTTTTCCGAAACGCGTTATCCATAAAGTATGTGTGTTTTGTATTGGGTTTGTACATCACGAGATGTGAGTAGTTTCTGTTAACAAGCTTAGGATCGGAGTAAACATGGTCTCAGCAATTTATATTCATTACATATTTAAGGGAATTGAAACTTGTCTTCAACACAAGGAGGGAATACCCAGATTCTATAGCCTTCGTCCATGGACAACTTCTGCTCATTTATATTTACATTTCAAAGCCCACATGTTGTCAATGTGTCCTGTTAATTATACGTGTTATTAAAGATTAAATGAATCTAACGGTATATTGAACTGTTTTCAAGAACTTGTCTCCATTCCTGACTAAACATGCCAATTAGTATTTCATTGAAAACTTCCTAACCATACATATCCAGCATCCATAAGAGTGAGTGAGTGAGTTGGGTTTAACGCCGCTTTTAACAGTATTCCAGTTATATCACGGCGTGTCAGCTTAATGTGAGAGGAAAGCCCGAAGAGATGCAGGTCCCAGACGTTTACCACTTCGGTGAAACCAACGAGCACGGGTATAGTGCTGACAAACCTAGAAACATAATCGGGGCGAACCGGGATTCGAACCCACAATCATAGGTTTCTGGCATGCCCAAGGGACGCAACTCTTCACAGCGAATCGCGGCGCCTCAGACGACTGGGCCACCCGTGCCCCGGCATCCATAGTGAGTGAGTGAGTGAGTGAGTGAGTTAGGAATAACGCCGCTTTTAACAGTATTCCAGTCATATCACGGCGTGTCAGCTTAATGTGGGAGGAAAGCCGGCATCCATAAGAAAAGGTTGATAACGTACATAGAATGGTCCTGTGCTGTGTTCAAGACAGTCTGTCATAAGGTTCCATATTAAGGGACTGCAGCCATTATTATTGCTTACCTATTTTAAATACTTGGGACTTTCACATATCATCCATAACTCACCGTCGTTGAAAATAAACATATCTGAACATACACTTGTGTTTCCAGTGTGCCTGACGCCCTACTCCGACGCCTGCTGTTGTCATCACGGCAGTCACCACAGCCACCACAGCAGGCACGGCATCCCCATCCCCATCCCCTACCCCATGGGCGGCAGCAGCGGCGGCAGCCACTCCGCCAACATCCCCCTCATCATCACAACAACAGGAAAATAGAAACATGTACGTCTATCTGTCTTTCAATATTAATTATATACCGACGGAACCAAAATCACGGAATGTGTAGTTATTGAGGATACGTTATCGTTACTTTCAATCCAAAATGCTTTTTATATAAAAGTGAGTTTGTGGGTTGGGTTTGAACAGTATTCCAGTTGTATCACGGTTGGTCAGCTTAATGTGGGAGAAAATCCACAAGTGATTCAGGTCTCAGGCGTTTGCCACTTTTGTGAAGCTATACGCACGGTTCTTTGCTGAAAAGCTAAGAAACATAATCGGATCGAACCTGGATTCGAACCCACGATCATAGGTTTCTGGCGTGTCCAAGGGACTCAACTCTGCACAGCGAATTACGCCGCCTCAGAAGACTGGGCTACCAATGTACCCACACATATAAAAGACAACGCAGGACTGCTTATACTTTTTATCAAATAAACATAGGCTATATTTTGGTTACATATGATATATAATCTAAACTACATGTTTCCTTTCCATTATATGTCCTTATTAACATATCATTAAAAAGTATTTAAATAGGTTTTTTTACCGTTATTGCTTATGCCAATTTATAGTTTTCCGTTGGAATTAGTTGGGTTGTATTGTCACGTGTCAGCAGAAATTTACTGACAATGAAGAACCACCAAAAATACAAGGAAGTTGTCAAAAATTACCCAAACAATTTGAGAGTTTCATCTTGATGTCTGCAGAAATTCTGCCGCCTCAGTTCTGTCTCATTGAACTGAGGCTGCAGAAAACCCTATTTGGGTGATAATATGACACGGAATGAAGACAAGGAAGTTTTTTACACATAAACATTTTTATACTTTTTTTTTTCAGGTGACGAGATCAACGTGGACCGACGTCAAAAACTGGTTTCAGTCTTTGTCTTCACCGCTGTCAGTCTGTCTGTCTGTCTACTCTGGCTTTCTGTCTGTCTGTCTGTCTGTCTACTCTGGCTGTCAATGCAATTTTAATAAAAATTTCTTGCAAATCACCATTTCTCTTTTTTTTTGTAAGCAATTTGATACATGAACGCGCGCACGTGCACACGCACTGAGGAAATATATCACTGACACATCTTGAACTAGAGCCGTGTAAAACCGCGTGGTGAACTTCATGAGCGTATGAACGACACAGTTTTGCTTTAGACACAAGCTCCGTCGTTTCTACAGTTTGGCCCTCACTCTATGAGAGTTCATTCTCCAATAAATTATTGAAATGTGAGCGTCAATTACATTTCGTACATACTTTTTAGAGCCGTTTACAACAGTTGAGGTGAGGTGAGGTGAGGTGAGGTGAGGTAAGGTGAGGTTTAACGTCGCGTTCAAGATTATTGCACTTATATAGCGACCGCGCATGTACGTTCGTGTGTGTGTGTGTGTGTGTGTGTGTGTGTGTGTGTGTGTGTGTGTTTGTGTGACAGCTTGTACTAGTCCGAGCTGATGCCGATTTATAGTGCCATCTCACTGAGACACCATGCCGTAGTTTAACATGAATATCCCACTCAGACACAGTATAATGACTCAAAGCCGATCTGTCCTTGTTTTAGCCCGTGAAAGTCGAGCGCCAGGAAGGGTAACAACAAGTACCATCTTTTTACGTCTTTTAACATGTCGCGACCGGGGATCGAACTTCGGACCTTCCGCTCTCCGGGCAGACCATAACACCATGTTCCGCGAACTTGGACCGTATACTTGTGTCAACCACTACCGAGAAGCAAGGGAATGTGTAACATGTAGAGAATCTCACCCTCGTGTCTTTTGATATCAAATATATCAACACGAGTTGATAAAAGTGGAAAAATTCCGAGGCTTGCCGAGGATTTTTGCCACTTTTATCAACGAGTGTTGATATATTTGATATCAAAAGACACGAGGGTGAGATTTTATTTATCATCCAACATCGTTCTTTCAACTTTTTCAATTTGTAGACAGTAATTAGCAGTATCTTCAGTGTAAAAAGTACTGCAAACAGCTTCAGTAGCAGAGCCATTAGTGATGTCATTTGATTGTGACGTCATGGTAACAAGTGATGTCACAATGGTCTGCAAAGCATTGTGATGTAATTTCATTGCAGCAATATCTACAGTGTAGATATCGCTTGATCTCACCCAAGCGATATCTCCTGTGGGAGCCAGGTTTGGATAATAAACATATGTGTAATATACCTAGGACTTCCTTTTTATCAGGCAACAAACAAACACTTACTATTTTATGCAAATTGTGTGGGTGGCGGGTGTTGGAAGGACATGTTTACCCTTTTCGCGAACACCTGACGTCATCACTGATGTTCATTGAGTGAGTGAGTGAGTGAGTTGGGTTTAACGCCCTTTTAACAGTATTCCAGTTATATCGCGGCGTGTCAGCTTGATGTGGGAGGAAAGCCCGAAGTGATGCAGGTCTCGGACGTTTATCACTTCGGTGAAACTCACGAGCACGGGTATGGTGCTGACAAACCTAGAAACATAATCGGGGCGAACCGGGATTCGAACCCACAATCATAGGTTTCTGGCCTGCCCAAGGGACGTAACTCTGCACAGCGAATCGCGGCGCCTTAGACGACTGGGCCACCCGTGCCCCCGATGTTCAGTGATCCATTCATATAATCTCCTCCGCTATTCTGCCTTATACGCCCAATGGAATCTGTTTCGGTGGATAATCGAGACTGGTTATTCTCTGGCTTTGACGTTTAATATTTTACAACATTAGAGTAAATGAAACACAATGTAAACAAGATTAAATAGCCTCGGCATCTATGCTTTATGCACACCTGTGCATTTAATTAAATAACATTTATGAAGATATACACAATAGCCCGACATAAATATTACTCAATAGGCATATGTACATATATCTATATTTTATCACATATATAGGTAGGGGACGCGTGACCAGGTGCATCAGAATAGCGCGAGCCAATACCTTCAGGATGCCTATCTTATTCGTGAACACCTGGTGTCATCACTGATTTTCCTTGATCCATTAAGGGGCACGGGTGGCCCAGTCGTCTAAGGCGCCACGATTCGCTGTGCAGAGTTGCGTCCCTTGGGCACGCCAGAAATTGTGGGTTCGAATCCCGGTTCGCCCCGATTACGTTTCTAGGTTTGTCAGCACCATACCCGTGCTCGTGGGCTTCACCGAAGTGGTAAACGTCTGAGACTCGCATCACTTCGGGCTTTCCTCCCACATTAAGCTGACACGCCGTGATATAACTGTAATACTGTTAAAAGCGGCGTTAAACCCAACTCTCTCACTCCTTGATCCATTCTTATCATTTTCACCGCTATTTTGCCTTTTACGCTCAATGGAATCTGTTTCGTTGGATAATCGAGACTGGTTATTCTCTGTCGTTGACTTATATATTTTTTAAAGTATAAATGGGCCGCGCGAGCTTTTGTCAGTATCTCTTTTCATAGCATTGCTCTGCAAGTATATGCTGACCAAGTTAACATGTAACATAAGCCTGTCACACCAGGCTTGTCTATTGGCCATTCAATTCCGGTTCGACGGTAGTCACGTGACCGCTCGGTCTTCTTATTGCTACAGTAAATTTGACGCGACAACAACTTCGGAAATTCCTCTGCAGTTGCCACGAAGAGACAGCTTCTATAATGATGAGAAAGCTTAAACAATGAGGACACTACTTGAAGTCGCAGCTAAAACAGCAGAAAAGTAGAGAAACTACACGCACTGGTTAGCAAGACACGGCGCATTCCACTTCGCGGGTGACTGACGCCAAGAAAACACTGTGACTATATTTAGACTCGCGAACACCTGCTTTGAGTGACATGTTGTGACTGTATGAAACTGACATGAAACTGACACGAAAATTGCCAAGGCAACAAAGTGACGATATATTGTGTGAGGATCGATAATACTGTTTGTGGTGGACACGTACGTCAATATTCTGGGATAATGTGAGTATATTGTATAGATATTGTTATAACAACCTGGTGCTGTACTATAAACTGCGTGTGTTCAATATCGTGGTTGATATCCTGTGTATATTTGATCCATGTTTAAATAGTTTCGGCCGTCATATAGCTGGAATATTGCTGAGTGTGGCGTTAAACAATAAACCAACTAATTAAATCGTTTCGAACAGGAACGTGTCGATGTCGTACAGGGATTTACAGAAAACTAATGTTTTTGACACCCTTTGACGTGCAGTGGGACAGGAGGTGTCTTTGGGCAAATGCTTTCATTAAATCGCTGAATTATCAAAACGATAGATGTGGTGTTTTGGTCAGCATGTTCCTAACCGTATAGCGCCACTCCAGGTAAATATAGAACAAAATGAAAGTTTAATTAATCGACAATATAAATGCAATAATGTAAAATAATATCAATAACATGATTAATATATAAACATTAAATTAGAAATTAATCTACAATAAAATTAAATGTAATAAAACGTAACAAAAAAGCGATAATTCTTACGAATAGAACGTCACAGGCAGTTAATCTTTTTTCGAAATTTTGGTGACATATTTCTAACCATGTCTTATCATGACATAAGGTGACTGTGACCTGTGACCCGTGACCCGCCTTTTATCTCTTCAGGATTGGCATGTCAAATAGCATGTACAGGGAATTCCCAGGCTAGGGAGGAAGTACGGGTGGTCTTGTGGCCCAGCTATTCCCTGTGCTGTTTCGAGATCGGCTAACTGGTCAATAATAATAATAATAATAATAATAATAATAATAATGTTCACTGGTCAATAATAATAATAATGGTTGGTTTGTTGTTTAACGCCGCACTCAGCAATATTCCAGCTATATGACGGCGTAATAATAATGATGATGATAACAATAACAATAACAATGTTTATTTTTAAATTGCGTCAAATGCACACCCTAAAGCAAGCTCAAAGCGCTACATTATTACCCGGCTAAACTGACACTCTAATTTCATTCTCAACTCCCTCGGGAGTATACAACTCAAAGGCGCTGGAAGGTTAACTGTCACAGTACCATCTCATCTCCCCGGGTACCCCTGCACTGCTCGGTGAACAGCGGTCTATTTCGCACAAAGTTACTTGCTTAAGGAGACAAAACATCTAAGATGCGCTTCAGTGTGGGGCAGGCCGAACCCCCACAAACTCTCTGGAGTGAAGCTTGCCAAACACAGTCACCCATACATCTTTTCTCCGTGACCACGTTTACTTAGCTTCGCCTGATATGTTACGTGGGTTCATTCGCAGGACGACGACCCCCTGTGTCGTATGAAAACAAACTAGCAAAAAGTGAGGTCGTCATCCTGCGAATATTTTAATCCGCCAATCTAGTTAAACAATGGGTATCGAGTGTTACTTTAACAACTCGAGCAAGTAAAAAAGTGGAACTGGATTTGAAACGAACGAAAGACAATAAGGGTGGGATATTGATTTATTTACAAATAATTTGAATGTATATGTACAAGATGACGTACATATAAGATTCACAAAAGTCATGGTCAATTAAGACAGTTTGAGAAGATGAGACACTGAGTCAGCAAAGAATATTACATTGACTTCATTCTGGATCAGTCTCGTCTTCAGTTGATCGATTCTGCGTTGTATATCACAGAACTTCTTTTTTGGTGGGAGACGCTGGCCGGTCTGGTACTGTAGCAGATTACATTCTGTCTTCTGCTGTTCAGCTCCTAGAAATTGTATCAGCTCAAAGACTGATGCGTATTTCGCACACGGGCCCGGCCAGGCCATTTAATGTGTTTCCTAAAGAGGCGAAAGTGGTGTGTGCAACCCAAGAGGGGGCTTTAGGGGTTGCTTATATAGAATTTGGGAATTTTGAGATTTTGGAATAGATGCCGATGGGGTTGGGGAGGAGAACTAAGGGAGCTGGCTATGGTGGATGTTTGTGTTTATGTAATTTTGATTTGGTAGATTATAGTGTTTTTAGATGCGTTTTATTAGTTCCGTTTTGATTAAGAATACGCCTAAGGCCTTGAAGTTTTCTAGTTTATTTTGTGGGTTATCGAGAATGATGTTTCGGAGATTTATAACAGAGTAACTGTTGAGTCAATCAGCTGAGTAAATGGTACTCACTAGATTATCAAAATCAGAGTTCACCAATTCAGTGAACACATTTCAGTTTTCGTGTACATATTTCAGTTTTTGACACTAACCAAGGAGTTAATCCCCTCCTAAAACAACACCACACATCAAAGGCGTACCGGCGGGTCGTCGTCCTGCGAGTGGAAAAATTCGAGGGGTCGTCGTCCTGCGAATACCCCGTTACATGTGCGTTTTACACTGGACCACGTAGCGTTAAATACTACTCACTCACTCCACGACAAGACTTGTAAATTCAGCGTATTCGTGAAGACTTTGTGTTACTCGGATGTTGCGCTAACTTCTACCCTGTTCACATGCGCCTCTATACATTAAGGGGCTACAACAAGGACTGGTCTGTTCGGAGTCAGTATACTGTGTCCGAGTGGGGTATACATGTTAAACTGCGGCATGGTATCTCAGTGAGCTAGCACTATAAATCGGCATCAGTCCGGACTAGTACAAGCAGCCACACACACACATACACGTGCATGTACGTCGCTATATAAGTGCAATAATCTTGGACGCGACGTTAAACCCAATTTCACCTCACCTCACCTCACATATGTGTGTATATGTGGATACGTGTATAGAAATACAAACGTGAGTATACTTGTCATGTGGACACGGTTACTCATGTGTGTATATTCACATCAGAAGCAAATTTGCATCATGTCTGGAGCAGGTGCAAATGTAAATGTAAATTTGCACTGTGTGTATATATTGCAGTGTGAACGTTTATGTCAACGTAAGAGGATGATCTAATTAATATCTGTTCTTTTGCCAACACCAAACAGAGTTGAATGGACGATGTTTTCTTTTGGTTTCAAGGAGTCAAAACTTTGTGTACAAATTAAGTCAAACACATGTTGCTTCACGCGAAAACTTTCTTCTCATTCAACTTTGACTGGAAAACAACCTGTTTTTGTGTTGAAAGTCGTGAACAGACTGACGAATATGTGTGCCTTACACAATTTACATACTTTATTTTCACACCTGAGATGCTTTTCATGTGAACGCATAGTAATATAAATTTACACATACGCACGTTTGTATAATTACATATGTGTTAAATTACTTACGTTACTAAATGTTGTTCATGTGAACGGGGTATAAGTCGGTGATGTGAGACTTGTGAATGTTAAAGCCGAGCCATGTAATTACTGCGTGAACGGTTATCGATACTAACGTGTTCAGGCCTCGATTTCTCGAAACAAACTTAAGTTAAAAAACTGACTTTAGTCTGTGTTTTTACTCAAATTTGAGAAAACTCAGCAAAATACATTTCTCAAACCAAACTGAGTTCAATTATGGACTCAAACTGAGTTCGAAACCACGTAAAACTTAAGTTAGCCTGAGTTTTAGATGATTTTGATTCGAGAAACGCTTTTGAGTTAAAAACTCAACTGATTTTTATTTAAATCTCGTCATGTGACATGCTCAGCTCAGATCGGGGTCGTTTCCTTCTTTAGAAGGAAGAACTTGTTTACGTTAGTTATGTTTTTAGCTCAGGAAGTGTTAATATATTATGTTTGGTCAAATACCAAGGCAGGTTGTTTGTTTGAAAGTGTTAAAATAATTAAATGGAGTTTAAACCGCTGGGTTTATTTGTGTGAACATGTTTGTGAGTGAGCATAACATATACTTAATTACTTAGAACATCCGGGGTAGAATAGGTCTTCAGCAACCCATGCTTGTCCCCCGTGAAGATCCGGGGTAGAATAGGTCTTCAGCAACCCATGCTTGTACCCCGTGAAGACCCGGGGTAGAATAGGTCTTCAGCAACCCATGCTTGTACTCCGCGAAGACCCGGGGTAGAATAGGTCTTCAGCAACCCATGCTTGTCCCCCGTGAAGATCCGGGGTAGAATAGGTCTTCAGCAACCCATGCTTGTACCCCGTGAAGACCCGGGGTAGAATAGGTCTTGAGCAACCCATGCTTGTACTCCGTGAAGACCCGGGGTAGAATAGGTCTTCAGCAACCCATGCTTGTCCCCCGTGAAGATCCGGGGTAGAATAGGTCTTCAGCAACCCATGCTTGTACTCCGTGAAGATCCGGGGTAGAATAGGTCTTCAGCAACCCATGCTTGTCCCCCGTGAAGATCCGGGGTAGAATAGGTCTTCAGCAACCCATGCTTGTACTCCGTGAAGACCCGGGCTAGAATAGGTCTAAAAGAAACATGCTTGTACCCCGTGAAGATCCGTGTTAGACTAGGTCTTAAGCAGCCCATGCTTGTCGTAAGAGGCGACTAACGGGATCGGGTGGTCAGGCTCGCTGACTTGGTTGATGCATGTCATCGTTTCCCAACTGCGTAGATCGATGCTCATGATGTCAATCACTGGATTGTCTGGTTCACACTCGATTATCTACAGACCTCCGTCATGTAGCTGGAATATTGCTGAGTGCGGCATGAAACAACAAACAAACAAACAAACAAACAAATCAGTTATGTGAAGAAAAGTTCATTTTGGGGTAAAATCCCAATTCACTCAAGATCAAGTTTTGCAAAATAATTAGCAAGGCACTTTTCTTAAATTCAACTTGTTTCCGACAATACGGTTTGAATAGAAATCAATAACCTAATTGGTTAAAATAGACGAATAACGATGCAACTGATCATATTAACTCGTTCAAACTCATTCATGTACTTATCACATATTAAACACACACACTTATCACCAATTCACGTCAATGTAATCCGACAAGCAAGCACAGGCGCGAGCAACGTTGTAATAAGTTATCTCCCTTACTCACTGCATCTGTTGTCGAGGTGCGTCTCGATGAGGCGTTATATGACAGTCGAGTCTCCTCTGGTATCGATCTATTGAGTTGTCATGTTGCATTGTGCACAAATTAGCAATTTT